AACAGTAAACATAGAATTAAATGGAAAACACAATCAACCACTCAGAAACAAGGAGTATGTATTAAAAACCATAACATGCCCCTCCCACATCATCTCATTGTTCTTGTTTTTGGTCATTATTTATGCTTATCTATGTAATATTTAAATTGTTACTTTCTGGCCTTTCTTATTCCCATATACTGTCTAGTTTCCCTCTTTATTACTCGGCTTCTACTCTCACCTATCTGTCCTTTATAAACTAAACTAGGTTCTCCGGTCAGCTATGTGATAAACTCCCGTTCTCACGTGAGTTTGCCACAAGCTACTGGAGGAGCTTGCTTGCCAGCCTCCTGCCCACAGACCATGGGCCCTGCAGGGAAACCTGTAAAAGACCACCGAACTTGACCGACCGTTAGCACTGATTTCACGGAACTGTTTGGGGCATACCACCATGTGCACAGTCAGCTAAAATTATGACTTCCAGGAAATTCCCCTAACCCCGAACCGATCTGGGTGATTTTTGGATATGTATATATACTCGGGGCTCTTATGGGATGTAACATTTGTGGGGGGTTTTGTGTTTAAAGGTATTTTTGGGGTTTTGTAAAAATGTATGTTTTCTGTGCCTGGAGATAATTGAGTTTAATACAGTTCCTGACTCAATTATTTCCCAGGCACAGAGGAGGGATTATATTGTTTTATGTGGGATTGTCCTGGACCTGATAGCCAATGTAATGGTGTGTATATTTGTACTGTAGTCTACTCTCAGGTTCAGCAGGAAGTGCCCCTTGCATGGGGACCTGCGTATAAGGCCAGTTGTGGCTGCCAATAAATGAGTTCCTGCCTACCATCAACATAGAGTCTCATCTCATGTGTGGGGGGAACAGCTGTATCTGCTCTGGGGATTGCTATATCACGATACTCCCCTGGGCTATAATCACTAGCTCTTGTAAGGGCTACACTCCTATACTTGCTATACTCTCTTGAAGCCCTCCATTTGGCCTTACTCATGCTGGTAATCTCACGTCAGCCATTTTGTTTGTGAGACTTCCTTCGTGGTCACCGCCTCTGCTTCTTGGTTTGGTTTTGCTCTGCACCTCCGGCCTTCTCCTTCCCCACGTGGCTACAAGCTACAAGCATACCTCCTTGCCTTCACCAGAATACAACAATTATTTTATTTGGATCTCTATATGCAGGGTGTTTTAGAAACCTTGTTACAGGATGTTTCTGCCTTCACTCTGGGATTGCTTTTTGCCCCTCAGGAAGCACTGGTGGGCCTATTATTTAGTATATGGATATACTAACTTTATTTTATATAGATGTACTGTTATCATTGTTTGACTACTGTACTATGACCTGGGTGAACCTCATTCTTTGAGCACTATTCACTATTATTTTCATATAGGATGTTATTCTTGGGGCTTCTTCCCTTTTGGTTACATACATTGTGTATATCGCTGCCTCTTTAATAAATAGTCCCAGAGGTGTGAGCCATCCACCAAGTTTGCCTCAGTGGCTCCTTTATCATACCAAAGAATTGTGACTTATCCACCCTACTACATCTTAATGCTCCGCCAGAGCTTTTCTCCCAGCCAGGGCAGGATTAGGTGTGATCCACTTATTTTTCTGTTATTAATTTTTTTGGCTATGACTATGGTCTTGTATAGGATGAGTCACCTGATGTTCTGATAAGTAATTACTCTGCTTATTGTTCTCATGTTCCACCTCTCCTCCTGACCTGGAGTTTCCTTAAGTCCCTCGGAGCTTGTCTGCGTGAGGGACACTTTGGAGTATGATCTCTTAGGTGCCTACTACGCTGGAGCCTCAGATGAAGACCATGCACCCTCACACCTTTCATCTGGGAAACCATAGTGGATAGAGAGCACACCTTTGCAATAATCATGCTGTCTAATCAGCATCTTGATATGCCACACCTGTGAGGTGGATGGATTATCTCGGCAAAGGAGAAGTGCTCACTAACACAGATTTAGACAGATTTGCGAACACTATTTGAGAGTTTTTACTGTATGTATTGGGGCCGTTGCTGCCACCCAGGAGTGATGGGAGTGAGCGCAGGACTTGTTTTTTTGTATTTGTATTCACTTTTTGTTTCACACAGCTATGTTACAATGCTGCCGCCCATCCCTATTAAGGATTAATAAGTATATAGGGGTGTATATAAAAAATACCCCTTTCTGTCTCATTAGAGATATCCTTGCCAGAGGCTCAAGGAAGCAGGGTGAAATGTTAGTGTAGGACCCACGTAAGGGGGTCTGCCTTGACGTTGGCAGGCGGGTATTCCCTCCAATGGCCATTGAAGTAACTAAATGACCTCCATTGTTTAAACATACATAACTTTGTCTTTGGTTTTGAGAGAAATAAGCCTTGTGTTTACATAGAAAAAGTCTTAGATCTTTGAATTCAGCTCATGAAAAATGGAGGCAAAAACAAAAGTGTTGCGTTTATAATTTTTTTTTCAGTGTAGATGACTTGCAAAAAAAATCCAGCAGTTACTTTTATCTTCTTATCAGTAATTATAAACAGAGGCCATGGACAGACTTTGAATAATGGGAGTTGTGTTGTGTTGGAATGCCACCGGTGCCCAACTAAAACTGAATAAAATGAACACTGTGCAAAACCACTCAGAAATGTGTGCTCCATGTCCTTTGTGTATTTCTGTCAAAACAATCTTCTGTTCCGTTATCTGTCTCAGTAAATACCAGATCTGCTGAAGGACAGAGCTGAAAGAATATTCAACACACTATGTATTATTTACATAAGCTGAAAACTCAGCCTGGGATGACTTAAAACCAAGTGTTTGGTGCCTGGGGCACAGAGTTTTCTGCCTCACGGAATTCACAAGTGTGACAAGCTTTAAAGAGTCTTCAGGATAAAGATAACACGTTTGTAAATATAGCTTTCCTTTGTTAGTCATTGTTTGCGAATGCAGAAGACATATTCACACGACACCATAAATAATAGGAAAGAAAGAATTAAAGGGACACGAAGCAATACTGCTTCAGCTTAAAGGAACACTGTAGCGTTAGGAATATGTTTGTAATCTGAACACTATAGTGGTACATTATCTATTTAGTTGCCTCCTGCCCCCCAAGATTGATAATCTCAGCCAATCCAATGCTCCCCCATACTGAAGAACTGGGAGAATAGTGCGCATGCGCAGCAGAACACAGTGCTGTGCCAATACAATGCTCTCTATGAGCAGCATTTGATTGAATAACTAATAACAAGTCAAGTCTGAATCATTTATTCAGCGGAAGCGCCTCTAGTAGCTGTCAGGAAAACAGTCACTAGAAGTATGCTTAACCCTGCAATCATAACATTACTATGTGTTTTTACTAAGCAGCAATATTTTAGATTGCAGGTTTAAAACTACTAACTGCAAGACTGCTTCATTGAGATTACATGGGCTGGGTGTCTTTAGAGTTCCTTTAATGAAGTGATTTTGCAGATCGTGGCCCTGCAGTCTCACTGCTCAGTAATCAGCCATGTCTCATCAGTGTCATCAGCTTCATCAGTGACCAATGACATTCTATCAACACTACTGGACCATGATGGCGAAATGTGATGGCCATATATTTAACATAAAGAAAGAAGAAGGATCATCACTTTATGTCACGTAGGAGTCACTCTGTGTTTTTATCAAATTCCTATTGCAATGTCAGATTGCATTTAAATAACCTTCAACTTCCTTTGAAGCCAAAAAACAAGAGTTTGTTAGTTACGTATATTTTACTAGAATCTATTTTAATCCTTAAGGACGGTGGGCGTTCTATGCCGTTCTTGAAGGGGTGGTTTTAAATGTCGGGGGGCGGCATAGAACGCCCCCGCCGTCTTTCTGACTTACATGATCGCCGTCATTCCCCCACCGGCGATCGGCTTTACTCCCAGTCTGGGGAGACTACCTAACAGCCCAGAGAATCCCCCCTCAGCAAATTAGGCCCCCACGGGCCATGTGATCTCTCTGAAAGAGCGGTTGCATGGTCGCAATAGGTGTCTGTGTATCTGCCTGCTTCTGTAAAATAAAAAAAAATAATGTTAGTAAATAAAAAAATAATGATATATATATATATTTATGAGAGTGTAAATGTGGTATGTCCAGTCTTTTTTAGTAGCCACTTAGTCACAAACATTGGACACAAACTAATATGTTTTCCTGGCACTGAAGAATCCCTTTAATTTCTCAATTTTTTTTTATATTTCATTCATATTAAATTGTTTCATAGCTAAATATTTGATGCTAAATGAAAGCCCTGTTTCCCTGAATAAAATGATATATAAGAAGTGTGGGTGCATTTAATATGAAAGAGGTGAATTACGGTTGAACAGACATATAGTCAAATTCCAGATTTTGTTTACGTTTTGTTTTGATCACAACGTGTACATTTGGCTCAGTCCTTAAGGGGTTAATACAATATGAACAAAAAATGTATGTATAAACACAAAACAAAACAAACACATAACATGCACGATTTAAACAGAAGCCTATCAGAGCGAGTGTGGAGTGATCCTCAAACATTTGCATGTGAAGGTGAACTTCTCAAAGGCTTTGCCAATTACACTCACACCAACACTGCAGTGGTTATGGTGCCTGTAGTGTCACTTTAAAATCTGCATGCCTTTCAGTGCCACAGCCCCAACTACAGTTTTTAAACTATTAAGTAATACATTATTTAGGCACCTAGATCCCAGTATTTTAATCTCAGAGCATGCAAGCATAAGAATTAAATACAAAATAAAACCTGCCAATTAGGTTAGTACTGTATGGGGTTAACTACAGCCCTAGGGCAATCTGCATTCTCTGCAATGTATCAAAAGTTAGATACAGTATTACAATATTCCAATCATATCTGATAAAAAAAAAAATACATTGCCAACATTCACATGCAGTTATCTTATTTACTTCCGGGTTCTACAGAATCTCTCCTGAAAACTACATTTCCCGGCATGCTGCACCCCAGACCGGAAGTGCCCTGCATCCAGGAAGTGTAATTTGACATTGCATGTTCAGTGCAGGGATGAAGGGGAGCTGGCTCTGCAGACAGGCATCCCTGCAGCTATTTACTAAGCAGTGTCACAGGCTGGCTGAGCAGAGGACTTGGAGGAAAGGTAATTATTGTGTAAAAGCTGATTAGTAATGGTGAGAACTTGCTGTCATCACTAACTGACTGAGCAGCATTATATAAAGGGGGGCTTGGAGGGGGGCTGTCAAATTATCCCCTCACTGCCCTAGAGAGCCATGGACCCTCACTGAATGGGCAATACCTTAGGATCAGGTGTGATGGGATCTCTAATAAAATGTTATTACTAGTCAAAAGGTAACTATATGGGGGTATGGCTCCCTTTTCATGTAATATATAGATCATTCATTAAACAAAATAATGCAAAACAAATTATAAAATTACTGTTAAAGTTACTACGCTTGTGATTTGTAGTCTAGTTGGCGGCAACCTCACTAATTTAAAGGGACACTATAGTCACAAGAACAACTACAGCTTATTGAATTTGTTCTGGTGAGTAGAATCATTACCTTCAGGCTTTTTGCTGTAAACACTGTATTTTCAGAGAAAATGCAGTGTTTACATTACAGCCTAGGGACACCTACACTGGCCACTCCTCTGATGGCTGCCAGAGGTGCTTCGTGGGGCAGTGCTGCACAGTGTGACTGACATTCAGTGCTCCCCAGCACATACATGGTTAAAACCCCTTTTAACATTTACCTTAAAGGAACAATATAGTGTCGGGAATGCAAACATGTATTCCTCACATATAGTTGTAAAATCCCTGTTTAGGATTCCAGCCCCCCTTACCTCCCGTTAAAAAGGTAGTTTAATTTTTTTTTTTTCTAGCGCCACACCAGAGTCATTGCGACTGGCTCCGCCTCCATGGCTGAGATCATCAGATGTGACAATCTCAGCCAATCCAATATGCTTTCCCATAAGAAAGCATTGGGAGGCTATTGCGCATGCTTGACAATACTCTGCGATGTGCCAGTCAGCATCTCCTCATAGAGATGCTTTGAATCTCTATGGAAATTGTGGAGATGCTGAACGTCAGTGCTCAGCACTGACCCAGGAAGCACCTCCAGTGGCCGTCTGAGTGACTGTTACTAGAGATGTTACTAGGCAGCAATATAAACACTGCCTAGATATGAAAAGGCAGTGTTTACATTAAAAAGCCTGCAGGGACAGGCTCTAGACATCAGAACCTTTACATTAAGCTGTAGTTGTGCCGGTGACTATGGTGACCATTTAATTTCAGCGCCAAGGTCCCTCTGCACTGGATTGAGCTCCTCCAGCGATATCACATTGATGGAAGACCTAATTCGCATGTGAGGCGAGTGCTGAGAACGCATTAGTGTTTCTCCACAGGAAAGCATTGATTTTTGAAGACGCTTGACATCCAATGTTGTTTCTCGGAGTTAACTCTGTGAAAAACAAGGAAGCTAGAGGTTGCCTTAACCATGCAATGTTTTCACTTGCAAGATTAAGGGGAAAGAGGCAATAAGTGTCTACAGTGTCTCGTTAATTTTTTTATTTTTTTTAAACATCTAAGAGGAATATCGAAGAATTGACAGGAGACTTTCAAATTCTAGCCAAACTGGAAATATAGCAAAGTTGGATACTATTTCCAGCTTTGGCAATACACAAAGGAGGAGGTTTATCAAAACAAGAGTGTTGCTGTCATGGGTGCAGTGTGTTAACCCCTTAAGGACCAAACTTCTGGAATAAAAGGGAATCATGACATGTCACACACGTCATGTGTCCTTAAGGGGTTAAAGGAACGCTAAACACCATAACCACTACAGCAAACGTATGGTTACGATGATAATATCGTCCCTCTGTTTTCCAATGCTACTTTAAATTTAATTAATGTCTTTACAATCTGCAACATTTATATATGACTGAACTGGTGTGTTGTGATTAATATAATTACAGTGCTGCACTTGTCTTTATGACAGGATATGTTTTTCCACGCGTGTCTACCTATCTTACACGCGCTTTCCATGTTACTGGAAATGACTGATAAATGTGCAACAATAACTAATCTATTTTTCGCTGCTGTTATTAATCACCTGATTCCATAGTACAGCAGTTAGAAGTATAACTTGTTTTATTAATCTCTTTTATATTGTTGAGATTTAAACTGTTCTATTAATAAATGGGAGGGGTGTGTTTTTTAACATACAATGTGTGTTGGGCAAGAGTTGACATGTTTTTATTACAAAAAAAGGATAAGACTAGAGTGAAGTGGTTGTCCCACTAAAGATGGAAAAATGTTGGACATCCACTTCACCAAATGATATCTCCAGATAGTTACAATAATTGTTAGGTATAACCTTTATTAAGCCGACTTAGGCAAAACACAAAAACAATAAATAATAATAATAAAAATAAAGTAATAGTGAAACACTCGTGGGAAAAACACGTGAAGTAAAAAAGTGGGTAGATGTAGGTTTGGATATCCTCAGTGTATATTGGGGTAATTTGGATAGCTTCACTGAAAACGCTAGTAACCAGTACAGTAAAGTACCGTATGTGTTCAGTCACATATCACAAAGTTGCTCCCCCTAAAGTCTACAGGGATCTGAAAGTCCCAGCTATGTAGAGGTATATCCAAAATTATTATTTCATAGACTCTAGTATATTATCACAGCATATACTTTTGGTTTAGATAGATAGTATCCATATATAGTTTTATCTATCATCTACAAATGTATCCAAAGTGTTGCAAGTAAAAACAGAGTCTAGGAAGAAGCTGAGAGGCACTGTGTATACAGTGTGATACTTGGTATTTTAGTACTTAGATGGAATATAAATACTCATTACTAAGTGGAGAGGTCACAGGAGGAAAGAGCTTAAATAGATCAAGAACGGTAGTTAATGAAAAATAGGTGTCTCTAAGGATGGATTAACTTATATAAATATATATAGAGGTGCCCACCCAACAGACTGAATCCCTCCCGGGATCGAAAGGACACCTAAATGTGCAAAAAATTGCTACACTCGCTAAATCCAGCTCATGTATATACTAAACATTGCTGCTACACAACTCCTATACATACTACACACTGCTGCTTCAAGGCAGCCTAACGCTGAAGATCACTAGCTGAACTGTCTAAATAGGTATAATAACAGTCCTAGTTGTGCCACTGACTATGGCTAGAACGGAAAAATATCAGCTAGAGAGTCAAAGTGAATAATTGAATGCCACCAGCATAAGTGACTAGATCACTATATATACATCCCCCACTAGTAAAAACAAAAAAACCGGCAAACGCTCGACGCGCGTTTCGGCGTGGTCACACGCCTTTATCAAGAGCTCCTAGCACGGGTACGTAGGAATTGTACAGACTTATCAGATTTCAAGGCAAAAGCGGCTCTACTAAGACAACAATTTCGGGAAAAAGGTTACCCGAATAAATGCCTTAAGAAAGCGTATAAAAGAGCCCTAGAATTGAATAGAGATGATCTTATTCTAGACCAATCTAAGCAAAAACCACTGAATACAACTATCCGTATGATTGGAACCTTTGATACAGGATGGAACACTGTAAAAAGGTCGATTGAGAAATTTTGGCCCATCCTTCTGAAGGATGTCCATCTTAAAGACGTCCTTAGTCCTAGGGCAACCATCACAGCATGCAGGGGGAGAAATCTTCGTGATATGCTGGTACCAAGCCACTTCTCAACGAAACAGAAGAAAGTGACCTGGCTGGGTCGAAATCCCCCCTGTGGTTCCTATGGATGTGGAAGATGTGTCGCATGCAGATACATTCTTCGGGACTCGAAGAGAGTCCAAGATAGCGCTGGACAACAGAGTTTTGGGATTACCCAGTTTTTTAACTGCAACACTGCTGGTTTGGTATATCTCCTTACCTGTAGTTGCAAAATGATGTATGTAGGAAAAACGTTTAGACCCTTCAAGGAACGGATCAAAGAACATGTAAGATCCCCAAAAAATCGTATGGAAACCCCAATTTCAAGACACCTAAAAAACTGCCATGCGGGTGACTCTAGTGCAATCAGGTTCTGTGGATTGGAATGGGTTAAACGCGATCAGAGACGAGGAGATTACGATAAACTTCTACGCCAAAAAGAATGTAGATGGATATATAAACTAAAAACCCTTAACCCAAATGGCTTGAATGAGGGGTTTTCATTCTCTCCCTACATTTAAGCCCTATCATTTAGTGTTTAGTTACCAATTATATATATATATATATTTTAATTGGAGTAACTACTATCAATTACACATCCTGTAAATATGTCTTTTATATGTTTTGTATATATTTGTACAATATAATAGAAATCTTTATTGTCTGTATATAGTATATTTTTGTGTGATTTACATTTATAATTTTTTGGTATTCATACCTTACACCTGGCACGTATCTAGTCCATTAGGGCCATGACCACTTACACTCTTTTGCCATTATGGGAATAATATCTAACTGATTTCTAATTCATCTGTATAGGTGGAACAGTGTCTAATAAATGCATATAGTAGACCCTTACCTAATTGGGTCCTATGCTCAATGAGTGCTGTCCACATTATGACATGACTTAGGAGCCAATACTATTATATTAGTGACTGATAGACTGAAATAAATAATAACTGTATCCTGAGCCTTATAATTGACTCTGTGTTACATGTTTTTATGTTTCTACTTCTCTCTACAATATAGATGCCCTGCTGAATAAAGGCTAATTTTACCTACTAAAATGCTACAAATCTATCCCTACTACATGGCTAAGAGTGTAGGAAATGGATCTCTAAGTGGTGCTTTTGAGCTGTACTGTATATATATACAGTCAGCCTGGCCGCGTTACCATAGCGACAGTTGGTTCCCTGTGTGCACACGTGGTCCGTAGATGGACAAACTTGTAGAAGGAGGAGGATGCGATCGGGTCATAGCCACGCCCCTAAGTAAGCGGATTGGATACGCAATCACATGGGCGGCACGTCCCCTGATATAAACTTACCCTCCTACCTCCAGCCGTGCTAGGAGCTCTTGATAAAGGCGTGTGACCACGCCGAAACGCGCGTCGAGCGTTTGCCGGTTTTTTTGTTTTTACTAGTGGGGGATGTATATATAGTGATCTAGTCACTTATGCTGGTGGCATTCAATTATTCACTTTGACTCTCTAGCTGATATTTTTCCGTTCTAGCCATAGTCAGTGGCACAACTAGGACTGTTATTATACCTATTTAGACAGTTCAGCTAGTGATCTTCAGCGTTAGGCTGCCTTGAAGCAGCAGTGTGTAGTATTTATAGGAGTTGTGTAGCAGTAGTGTTTAGTATATACATGAGCTGGATTTAGCGAGTGTAGCAATTTTTTGCACATTTAGGTGTCCTTTCGATTTCGATCCCGGGAGGGATTCAGTCTGTTGGGTGGGCACCTCTATATATATTTATATAAGTTAATCCATCCTTAGAGACACCTATTTTTCATTAACTACCGTTCTTGATCTATTTAAGCTCTTTCCTCCTGTGACCTCTCCACTTAGTAATGAGTATTTATATTCCATCTAAGTACTAAAATACCAAGTATCACACTGTATACACAGTGCCTCTCAGCTTCTTCCTAGACTCTGTTTTTACTTGCAACACTTTGGATACATTTGTAGATGATAGATAAAACTATATATGGATACTATCTATCTAAACCGAAAGTATATGCTGTGATAATATACTAGAGTCTATGAAATAATAATTTTGGATATACCTCTACATAGCTGGGACTTTCAGATCCCTGTAGACTTTAGGGGGAGCAACTTTGTGATATGTGACTGAACACATACGGTACTTTACTGTACTGGTTACTAGCGTTTTCAGTGAAGCTATCCAAATTACCCCAATATACACTGAGGATATCCAAACCTACATCTACCCACTTTTTTACTTCACGTGTTTTTTCCACGAGTGTTTCACTATTACTTTATTTTTATTATTATTATTTATTGTTTTTGTGTTTTGCCTAAGTCGGCTTAATAAAGGTTATACCTAACAATTATTGTAACTATCTGGAGATATCATTTGGTGAAGTGGATGTCCAACATTTTTCCATCTTTAGTGGGACAACCACTTCACTCTAGTCTTATCCTTTTAAATTATTTTGTGGGGTTATGCCCCTTGATATCTCTGTAACCCTTCCTTGGAATTAGTGATGTGGATTTAGTCCACCTCTATCTCTTTCCTTTCTTATTCTATATTTGTATATTAGGTTTCAATACCTGGGTTACTGATCCACTATCTTTTATTATTAAACAAGACAATGTCAGGTTTTCTATCTAATAAACAGGATTTTAGCACTTGGTGCAGGGATGCAGATAACGTGTTTTCTGGTGATAATCTTGAGAAAAGCCAGACTCCAACGGATATTTATTATTCATTTAATTCGGTGACTAAGCTATATAAGCAACAAATTAAGACATGCTGGGAGATCTCCTCACTTGAGAACTACATTAAGAAAGAAATGATCCCTAGGGGCCTTAGAGTCCGTAATATTCCAACATCCTATAATGAGAACCCTGAGTTCACTAAGCAATGGGAGTTAGCAGCTGGAACATGCTCAATGAAATTTATGGAGATAATATGCACCTTTGAAAAAGAAAAACTGGGCAATGTTAATCAAAAGCTAGATGAAGAAATTGATAGGCTCAATGTGTTTAAGAGCGAATCAAACTATCCAACATTGGAAAATAAATTAAAAAACAATCTTGATAGATTTCAGGACTCTATTAAATCTAGAAAACATCAGAAATTTATGAGAGACTTGAAGGACTATCAATTGGGGAATGTATATAGATTTCCTAATCGTCGTCTGAGAACCAATTCTGAAAACAATATGACCTCAGAATATGACTCCTCTGACACTGATTCTAGTATACAATACACACCCTCTGATCAACAACAAGCTCCCCCAATCTCTAATACTGGTAATCCTCGTAGTATTCTCAAGAAAGGGGTTAATTTTTTAGCGATGGGTCAACAAGAAGACACCCCCAATTACCAGACACGCTATCAATCCAGAAATTCGGGGAGAGGAGGGGCGAGGGGGAGAACACGAAGGAGACGATACTGAGTGTAAACTCTAAAATATCATATCCCTCTATAAACAAACCACATGTGATTAACCTGTCAACTCACGAACTTAATGAATTTCAGATTAAAGTACTAGAAAAGGGACTCTCTTTTGTACCAACACCAGTCTTTGATAAGTTTACTTGGATCAAAGACTTACATCTGTTTGTACGTAAACTTGCCTTACATAAATATCACGCTATCAATGAAGAGAAAAAAGCAAGAGCCTGTGGTCTGTCATGTAAAGATTTGGAGTTAGTAAATACACTAGTATCACTCCTAGATGAAAACGATGTCCATCTGCCCACTGAGTATACTAAATTGAAACCAAAAAGCCGATTTACCCCCAACTTCGCTAGCTTCAGAAATTTAGATCTATTCTTAGAGGCAGTAAAAAGCGAGATTGAGGGTATAGAGAGCAACTGCTTTGATTCTTTCCCTAACGATAATCTCTCTAAAATAGAGCAAATAGCTCTTAAGTCACTTAAAGAGAATGACCAGTTGGTTATTAAACCAGCAGACAAGGGAGGTAATGTGGTAGTCATGAATGTATCTGACTATGAAAATATGGTACAGAAGGTCTTGAGCAACAATGACACTTATATGATTTTAAAGGTGGACCCAACAAATTCATTTTTAATGCAATACAAGGAAATATTAGATGAGGGCCGCAGTGGGGGGTTGCTGTCCGGGGATGAATATGAATTCATTCTGAATCGATGTCCCAGGATAGCAACCTTCTACTGCCTGCCCAAAGTCCATAAAAATACACAATACCCACCGGGTCGCCCAATTGTTTCTGGGGTTGATAATTTGACCCAAAATGGGAGTCTATATATTGAAAAAATATTAAGACCTTTTGTTGAACAACTACCATCATATGTTAGAGATACAAAACAGGCACTGTCACTTTTCTCGAATCTCCAGTTACCAACGTCGGCTAACCTCTGCAGTTTGGACGTTGAGGCCCTCTATTCTTCAATTCCCCATGAACGGGGCATTGAACATACGAGATATTTTTTGGATCAGAGAGGTCCCAATCACATTCTTCATACTGAATTTGTACTAAAATTATTAGGCTATATTTTGTCTCATAACTACTTCTTATTTCATGACAAATTCTTTCACCAGACAAGGGGGACGGCGATGGGTACGGCGTGTGCGCCCTCCTACGCCAACCTCCATTTAGGCTGGTGGGAGCTACAGATCATGAAATCCAGTACCCTCTTGAGCTATATACCTAAAATACATACATGGCTTAGGTATATAGATGATATCCTTATTGTATGGCTGGGTGATGAAGAAGACTTCAATAAGTTTGTCTCTCTACTGAATATAAATGAAGATAACCTAAGATTTACAGCAGAATTTGGAGGACAGACTTTGAACTTTCTAGACATAACCATTTCCATCAATAGGAATGGGTCTTTGAAAACAACTCTGTTTAAGAAGCCAACAGCATCTAATGCATTCCTTAGCTGGGATAGCTTCCACCCTAGGCCTCTTAAACAAGGCATCCCCGTAGGACAATATCTGAGGGTACGTAGGAATTGTACAGACTTATCAGATTTCAAGGCAAAAGCGGCTCTACTAAGACAACAATTTCGGGAAAAAGGTTACCCGAATAAATGCCTTAAGAAAGCGTATAAAAGAGCCCTAGAATTGAATAGAGATGATCTTATTCTAGACCAATCTAAGCAAAAACCACTGAATACAACTATCCGTATGATTGGAACCTTTGATACAGGATGGAACACTGTAAAAAGGTCGATTGAGAAATTTTGGCCCATCCTTCTGAAGGATGTCCATCTTAAAGACGTCCTTAGTCCTAGGGCAACCATCACAGCATGCAGGGGGAGAAATCTTCGTGATATGCTGGTACCAAGCCACTTCTCAACGAAACAGAAGAAAGTGACCTGGCTGGGTCGAAATCCCCCCTGTGGTTCCTATGGATGTGGAAGATGTGTCGCATGCAGATACATTCTTCGGGACTCGAAGAGAGTCCAAGATAGCGCTGGACAACAGAGTTTTGGGATTACCCAGTTTTTTAACTGCAACACTGCTGGTTTGGTATATCTCCTTACCTGTAGTTGCAAAATGATGTATGTAGGAAAAACGTTTAGACCCTTCAAGGAACGGATCAAAGAACATGTAAGATCCCCAAAAAATCGTATGGAAACCCCAATTTCAAGACACCTAAAAAACTGCCATGCGGGTGACTCTAGTGCAATCAGGTTCTGTGGATTGGAATGGGTTAAACGCGATCAGAGACGAGGAGATTACGATAAACTTCTACGCCAAAAAGAATGTAGATGGATATATAAACTAAAAACCCTTAACCCAAATGGCTTGAATGAGGGGTTTTCATTCTCTCCCTACATTTAAGCCCTATCATTTAGTGTTTAGTTACCAATTATATATATATATATATTTTAATTGGAGTAACTACTATCAATTACACATCCTGTAAATATGTCTTTTATATGTTTTGTATATATTTGTACAATATAATAGAAATCTTTATTGTCTGTATATAGTATATTTTTGTGTGATTTACATTTATAATTTTTTGGTATTCATACCTTACACCTGGCACGTATCTAGTCCATTAGGGCCATGACCACTTACACTCTTTTGCCATTATGGGAATAATATCTAACTGATTTCTAATTCATCTGTATAGGTGGAACAGTGTCTAATAAATGCATATAGTAGACCCTTACCTAATTGGGTCCTATGCTCAATGAGTGCTGTCCACATTATGACATGACTTAGGAGCCAATACTATTATATTAGTGACTGATAGACTGAAATAAATAATAACTGTATCCTGAGCCTTATAATTGACTCTGTGTTACATGTTTTTATGTTTCTACTTCTCTCTACAATATAGATGCCCTGCTGAATAAAGGCTAATTTTACCTACTAAAATGCTACAAATCTATCCCTACTACATGGCTAAGAGTGTAGGAAATGGATCTCTAAGTGGTGCTTTTGAGCTGTACTGTATATATATACAGTCAGCCTGGCCGCGTTACCATAGCGACAGTTGGTTCCCTGTGTGCACACGTGGTCCGTAGATGGACAAACTTGTAGAAGGAGGAGGATGCGATCGGGTCATAGCCACGCCCCTAAGTAAGCGGATTGGATACGCAATCACATGGGCGGCACGTCCCCTGATATAAACTTACCCTCCTACCTCCAGCCGTGCTAGGAGCTCTTGATAAAGGCGTGTGACCACGCCGAAACGCGCGTCGAGCGTTTGCCGGTTTTTTTGTTTTTACTAGTGGGGGATGTATATATAGTGATCTAGTCACTTATGCTGGTGGCATTCAATTATTCACGTTGACTCTCTAGCTGATATTTTTCCGTTCTAGCCATAGTCAGTGGCACAACTAGGACTGTTATTATACCTATTTAGACAGTTCAGCTAGTGATCTTCAGCGTTAGGCTGCCTTGAAGCAGCAGTGTGTAGTATGTATAGGAGTTGTGTAGCAGCAATGTTTAGTATATACATGAGCTGGATTTAGCGAGTGTAGCAATTTTTTGCACATTTAGGTGTCCTTTCGATCCCGGGAGGGATTCAGTCTGTTGGGTGGGCACCTCTATATATATTTATATAAGTTAATCCATCCTTAGAGACACCTATTTTTCATTAACTACCGTTCTTGATCTATTTAAGCTCTTTCCTCCTGTGACCTCTCCACTTAGTAATGAGTATTTATATTCCATCTAAGTACTAAAATACCAAGTATCACACTGTATACACAGTGCCTCTCAGCTTCTTCCTAGACTCTGTTTTTACTTGCAACACTTTGGATACATTTGTAGATGATAGATAAAACTATATATGGATACTATCTATCTAAACCGAAAGTATATGCTGTGATAATATACTAGAGTCTATGAAATAATAATTTTGGATATACCTCTACATAGCTGGGACTTTCAGATCCCTGTAGACTTTAGGGGGAGCAACTTTGTGATATGTGACTGAACACATACGGTACTTTACTGTACTGGTTACTAGCGTTTTCAGTGAAGCTATCCAAATTACCCCAATATACACTGAGGATATCCAAACCTACATCTACCCACTTTTTTACTTCACGTGTTTTTCCCACGAGTGTTTCACTATTACTTTATTTTTATTATTATTATTTATTGTTTTGTGTTTTGCCTAAGTCGGCTTAATAAAGGTTATACCTAACAATTATTGTAACTATCTGGTGATATCATTTGGTGAAGTGGATGTCCAACATTTTTCCATCTTTAGTGGGACAACCACTTCACTCTAGTCTTATCCTTTTAAATTATTTTGTGGGGTTATGCCCCTTGATATCTCTGTAACCCTTCCTTGGAATTAGTGATGTGGATTTAGTCGACCTCTATCTCTTTCCTTTCTTATTCTATGTTTTTATTACAGTTAGAAGCGAGGTAGACATGTTTATTTGTTGCTACGTATAGACTGCTAATCTAGAAGTCAGGTCAAATGTGCATCTCTCATGTTCAGTTTTTCTCACATCTGTTTTTGCTGTTGACCCATTAGAAGGCAAAAACCCTGTTTGAAGCGCTTGGCACTTTTTCAACAACAACAACAAAAAAATTCCTCCTTGACCCTAGAATGTGGAAGGCGGGAGGCGAGGGAGCACTGTCCCCTGACCTCTTCCCTGCTCAGGTCCCTCGCTTGCACTGCACTGATGCCGGAGCCGGAATATGACGTCACTCTGGCCCCAGCATTACTGAGAGGCGCACAAGGGATCTGAGCAGGGAAATCAGAACTCCCTCGCCGCCCACCGTGTGTGTCTGTTGGTGTGTGTCTGTTGGTGTGTGTTAGTGGGTGTGTGTCTGTTGGTGTGTGTCTGTTGGTGTGTGTTAGTGGGTGTGTGTCTGTTGGTGTGTGTTAGTGGGTGTGTGTCTGTTGGTGTGTGTTAGTGGGTGTGTGTCTGTTGGTGAGTGTGTTAGTGGGTGTGTGTCTGTTGGTGAGTGTGTTAGTGGGTGTGTGTCTGTTGGTGAGTGTGTTAGTGTATCTGTGTCAGTGCGTGTGTGTATGTTAGTGTGTGTCTGTTGGTGAGTGTGCTAGTGTGTGTCTGTTGGTGAGTGTGCTAGTGTGTGTATGTTGGTGAGTGTGCTAGTGTGTGTATGTTGGTGAGTGTGCTAGTGTGTCTCTGTTGGTGAGTGTGCTAGTGTGTGTCTGTTGATGAGTGTGCTAGTGTGTGTATGTTGGTGAGTGTGCTAGTGTGTGTATGTTGGTGAGTGTGCTAGTGTGTGTATGTTGGTGAGTGTGCTAGTGTGTCTCTGTTGGTGAGTGTGCTAGTGTGTCTCTGTTGGTGAGTGTGCTAGTGTGTGTCTGTTGGTGAGTGTGCTAGTGTGTGTCTGTTGGCGAGTGTGCTAGTGTGTGTCTGTTGGCGAGTGTGCTAGTGTGTGTCTGTTGGCGAGTGTGTCTGTCAAACAGTGTGTGTTAGAGTATGTGTATGTCTGTCGGTGTGTGTGTGTCTGTCAGTATGTGTATGCATGTCTGTCACTGAGAGTGTGTGTATCTGTCAGTCAATGTGGATGTCTGTTAGAGAATATGTGTGTCTGATACTGAGCGTGTGTGTGTCTGTCAGTGAGTTTATGTGTGTCACAGTGTACATTTGTCAGTGAGTGTGTATGTGTATCTGTCAGTGAATGCGTGTCTGTTAGTGTGTATGTGTGTCTGTCAGTAAGTGTGCATGTGTAACTGTCAGTGTCTCTGTCGGTGAATGTGAATGTCTGTCAGTGAGTGTGTATGTTTCAGTGAAAGTGTGTGTGACAAAGACTGTGTATCTGTCAGTGAGTGTATGCATCAGTGAAGTCATGTGTCTCAGGCAAAGAGCATATTGTTTTTTAAAAAATAAGTGAAATTTAGAAGGAAGAATGGGGGTGTCTGAGTTTTGTACCGCCTAAGGCAGCACAAAACCAGAATACACCACTGACTACAGTCCTGGCACAATCCCACTATAAGTTGTTAAAAATGTTTAAGCATGTTGACAACTTAATTAGGTGCTGACCCACACTTGCTCTTCTCCTGCAGGAAGATCGGATAGTGTGGGCACACGGCGATAAGTTGTCAAACCATACCAGAACAGTCTGACCTCTTGCAGCAGGACTGTGTCTGGGTACTCCTGGCACCATGACCACTTGATTGTGCTGTAATGTTACGGTGCTTGGGGTGTTCCCTTGCCACATGCAGATTTTGTTAAAAATAAAACATTTTGCTGCTCTCTGCAGCATAATTCACCCCTTAGATCAGGAGCTGTAAGGCATTCATATCAGACACAAGTGACAGATACAGTAAACAACATAATTTACATAGTGTGAGAACAGGCCCACTTGGTATTAGCTCTGGCCTCCGATAAGAGGTAGGTATAAAAAGCCACAAGTATCAACGAAATGAGAAAACCAAATATAACCTGCAGAGAAGTAAATCTATGTGTATATAAACCAGCTAAGATATCAGTAATGTCCCTGAGGAGAAGCTGGTGCTATCGGATGCAGCAGTAGTGAATGGATGATAGAATAAAAATGATTTTTTTTATGTGAGTGTGGTGCTTAGTTCCCAGCATAGGTAACTGATAAGAAATATAACATTCTCAACATAAAGAATGAGTGAAAGGCCTCTGACTCCTTAAAATATACCCGACAATCATGTACTTATTCATTCTTAAACTGCTCTGAAGTGTTTGAGGAATATGTAACCCGCGTGGTTCAGTCTTTTAGTTAATTTAATATTATTCAGTGTGGAATCATTAACTTCAGTATATCTTATCTGGGTTTCTGTTTTCTTTACAACCTTTAGGTTTTCTAACTTCAGCAACCAAACCATCCAGCTATGACGTCAGGCGCGTGGAAATCACGCCATCGGATCAGAGAAGGCTAACATTTGATACTCATGCCTTGGTGCAAGATCTTGAGAGTCACGGTCAGACATTTTCTGGTTTCTTATCTCTGATTTGGTATTAGATAAATATGTGTAACCTATATTTTAGTTGTTGGTGGGGGGTGGACTGGGTGCAGTGATCATGTCCTTTTAACCCTGCAATGTACAAAGAATGTCCATAGGTTCACTATCGCAATAATTAAGGCATCGTCATCCCTGGCAGGGCCAGACTTAGGGGTGTACAGTGCTCCATGGCAACAGGAAAAGATTTTGTAGCACCAGGGTCCTCTCGTCATTGGTTTCGCCACTGCACCAGGGAATCTATAGTAGACAGTAACCAGGGTAGTAAACACATACACTATGCCCCTATACACCTATACCACCCTATACACATACAATACACACACTATACGCACAATTCACACAAAATACTCCTTATACACATACACTATACCCACAATATATCCCTTATATAGTGATACCTCTTATACACATACAATATACCCACACTGTACCCCCAATGCATACAATATACTGATACCCCTTATACACATACACTATACCCACTGTAGCGGAGCTGGAATATTAAACTCAATATCTTCAATGGTAGACTGTAAGGACATCCAAGAGAAGCGTAGTTCAGCAGTATAATCCCAATTTTCCAATAAACTGTAGATTCACAGTTCTGGGAGTCAACTGATTTGTATGCAGCTCCCCATGCAAGAGGTTTCTTTAATTACATTCCAGGGGTTTTCCACTGGTGGACCTTGTTGGGGACAGAGGACAAAGTAACATTTCCCAGACTCCTCCTCTGTACTTGGCAGATACTTGAGTAAGGACAACACTTTAATTACATTATCTCCCAAGTACAGAAAATATACAATATTCCATCATAACATACATTCATATAAGTCAGAAATCCACAAAATAAACCGAATAGCAGGGATCTGAGCGCCCACTCTGTCGAAATATTGCTCAGATCCGTTCGGTAGAATAGGAACGCCATTCAAGTAAAGTTTAGAGCGCTCAACCATGAGGTGAAGCCCCAAAATAATTCCAGATGGTTTAATGCTTTGACTGGTCTTCTTTCAGGAGTATTCACCATTAAAATAACGAATGGAACTGTTCGTGTAACAGGGAGGTTGTGTGCCCTGTGTTCTATAGTTTCTTTCATTCGAAAGCCGTTCTGTATACGTGAAGGGGAACGAACATACAAAAGGATGGGAGTTCCATAAGTGTTCGCGCCGTCAAGTGTCCGATTATAGTTGCATGCACTCGACGACCAAAAACCTCTGTCTGTTCGTGAACAAAGATGGCAGCCGCCACGTGTTCGGTCATACGAATGAGGGCCGACCATCCAACCACTTAGAACCTTGCAGTTTCTACGTGTGAACACCATTAATTGGAGGCACACAACTCCCCCGGGTGGTCTCACTGTTCGATAGTTGGTTCGACTGACGAACAATATGTCTTTAGTCTGTTCGGGAACCCCGAATTGTCGAACCAACCCACATTATACCCCTAATGTAAACAATATATCCCTTATATACTGATTCCCCTTATACATAAACTATACCCATGCTATACCCCCATTGCAAACAATATACCCCACATACATTATATTTCCCCAATGCAAACAATATACCTCTTATATACTAATACCCCTTGTACACATACACTGTACCCCCAATGCAAACAATATACCCCTTATACACACAGCTCAGATCTGTGCTGCTAGGGAGAAATGGTAAGTTCAACTACTTTTTACCCTCGGACTTGGTGGTGGGCACCTAGAGGGCACTATAACATTAGGAATGCACATTTATATTTGTAATGCAATAGTGCTCCTTTTAGTACTTGTTTTCTGGGTTAATAAGAAGAGAGGTTTTAAATAGTAGGAGGTATTAGATGATGGGGGGTGTAGCCTGGGAGGGGAGCTGTGAAGATTTTCCACACTGGGTGCCTAAAAGCCTAAGGCCAGCCCTGGTCTCTGGGTGTTTCTGCCCACATAAGCTCTCTTCCACATGTACCTCATGCAGTGAACGTGTTGCTCACACATACCTTTTTGAGGGAGCACACAGAGCGTACGAGTCTGCGCATTGCTCATTGTGGGGCACATCAGAAGGTGGGAGGCACATTGAGGAGCAGGTCAATGGCTGTCACAGGTGCCACAGGAAGCAGGAGAAAGAGAGGAGGCGAGCAGCAGGGCCAACAAGGAAACCCTGAAGGTGCGTTTCCAGTTCCTCTCTGCTCCCTTGCGCGCCTTCAGTAATAATGCCAGGAGCCGGAATATGACTTTAGTCCGGCCCTGGCATCACTACAGAGGGAGCAGAGAGGAAATGGAAGATCCATTCCTCACTGCACCCAGGGTAGAAAATTCCCACTGGACCCCGGGGAGAGTACCCACACTAGCTCTCCTAAAGGTATCAGTGTGTCTGTCAGTGAGTGTGTTTCAAATCAGTGAGATTGTGCCTGTCATTGACAGTGTCACTGCGTATGTCTGTCAGTGTGTATCAAATCATTGATATTGTGTGTCTTACATTGAGAGTGTGTATCAGTGTGTCTGTCAGTGAGTGTGTTTCAAATCAGTGAGATTGTGTGTCTTGTCATTGAGAGTGTGCGTCTGTGTGTTTTAAATGTATATGTCACCATTTATTATGCAAAGAGCTCCTTTTGAAAAATCTATGGGTGACATTTCTACATGTTATGTTTTCTATTGGTGTTGCCTGAATTGGGTTGTTTTTTTTTCTCGTGTGCTTTGGACATGTCCCATCCTATCAACACTCGTATTTCTGTTTTTAAGAAGCTCCTTTTGCAAATTCTATGGGTGACATGACATCTCTTCTCCTCACCATGCAATGTTTGCTTTAATTATGCCAGCTGGATTTGATTTATGTGTAAGAAGCATTTAGTATGTGTATATCACCATTTATTGGATTGCGTTCACTGTTCCTGCCCAAGTGGAATAATTAACATGCTTGCCCTAACACAGTCACCAAGCTAACATTATTATCTTCTGGTTGAATGAATTGTCAGTTTGTGTTATGGGTAAAATTGCTATTTACTGTGGTGAATGTTGGCCTGAAGCTTCGTGGCGTAATTGTAATTGAGTGTACCCTTGTGTGCGCAGTTGCTCTATTGCTTTCTATGGACTGTCCAACAGACCCAAATGGGCATTAACAGAAAGGCTTGTCTGTGTGAATGGCTGACATTACAATAATACTGTCATGTAACTACGAATACTACATTCATTATCACATAGGAATACTGTAATGTGGTGTTAGAAACCACAAAAATGAGAGAGAGGCTGTACTGTACCAAAGTTATCCAGAAACAATTTCAAGTTTACATTTGCACAAAAATTCAGTGTGCACAAAATTTTGAATCAGGAAAAAAAAATTAGCATATGAGAAAATTTCTGCACACACCAACTAAGCAAAATTGGAGGGAACATTGTAGCTGAGCATATCTCTTTAACTCCTACTATTCTGGTATGTTTTGGGATATAAAATTGTAAAAATAAAATAAAAATAAAAAGTATATCAAACAATCATGTATAAAGTACAGTGCAAAACAACCGGCATGCTTTACAATGAAATGGAAATTACCCTTTCATAGAAATGTAGATATGTACCAGGGATCGACAGATTATGGTTTTACCGATATTATCGGCCGATATTTGGTATTTTCAGCAATATCGGTATCGGCCAATAGAGATACCGATATTGCCGATAATACATACCAGGACCGCCGGGCTCATTACAAGCCCGGCGGTCCTGGGGAGGCCCGATGGAAGCTGTTACTTACCTCCCAGCAGCTCCCTGTCTAAATCTTGCGAGTCCCGCGGCCGTCAGAGCGTTGCCACGGGTTACCATGGCAACGCTCCGCGCGGCACACAGACCGCGAGATTTGCACAGGGAGCTGAAGGGAGGTAAGTAAGAGATTCCTACGGGCCCCCCTGCTGCTCAGTACAAGCCACTGGACCACCAGGGAATTCCATAGCCCCCCTCCCTGGCCAAGTAACAAGCAGGGAGGGGGGACAAAAAATAAATAAAACATAAATATTAAAACTAAAATTAAAATAAAAAAATGCTCCCCCCCATTTTACACAAATCACATCCCTTCAGAAACACACACTACACAAACACACTCACACTCTGCATTATATACACACACACACACACTGCATTCATTATCTACACACACTCTACATTCATTATATACAAACACTATACAAACACACACACACTCTGCATTCATTATATACACACACTATTCAAACACACACACTCTGCATTATATACACACACTACACAAACACACACATACACTGCATTCATTATATACACACTACACAAACACACACACTCTGCATTATATACACACACTATACAAACACATACTCTGCATTATATACACACACTCTGCATTATATACAAACACACACTCTGCATTCATTATATATACACTACACAAACACACTGCATTCACTTTACGCACACTACACTACACAAACACACACACTCTGCATTCAATATATATATATATATATATATATATAAAAATAAAAATGGTAGGTAACAGCACTCTAAGGACTTCAAAAAGTAAATGGTGAAAAAAACTTAGCTTTTATTCAGCAACTGCCACACACAATCGACGTTTCAGTTCTTAATACAGAACTTTCATCAGGATAAGGTGCATTACACAAACCAACATTAATATATAAAAACAAATAAGTACATAACATGCAAAACAGGTGCAGCTTACCCCAATCCCTGTGTGGTCCCCATGGTAATTGCCAAAAAACGCGGGTAAAATTAACCCCTGGAAAGATTATCGGTATCGGCTCTAAAAAATAAATATTGATCGATCCCTAATATGTACCAAGGATTCCTTTAAGTCCTCAAACAGTATATATGTGTGTGTGTATGTATGTATATGTATGTATGTATAAATAAATAAAAAGGCCAAATAAAAAATATCTATTTTATCTATTCTGTAGATATTGTGTTTGTTTATATATGTGTGTATATATATAAAAAAAAAAAAATCATTAAAAACTCACTTTTTCACAAAGCCCTCTCAATTAAACTGTTAATGGCTCCAAAAAACGCACACACTAAGTCTTTATTGAATACTATTTTACCAATCTACTTTCCTAATACTTCCCTTACTTTTTGTGTCACTATGCCCCACTCCCTCTAGCATGTAAGCTCAATGAGCATGGCCCTCAACCCATTGTTTGTCAAACTTGTCTGGTTACAATTACATGTTTATTAGTCCATGCATTGTAAAGCGCTACGGAATTTGTTGGCGTTATATAAATATTGTGAAGGAATTAGAGTTATTTAGTTTATTTTACTTTTTCCCATTCGGTAGCTGTAACTACCTAACACTGACCACCACCCTGGCTCATTATCTTCAAAGAGAATTAAGTGCTCTCCCTGTGTGGTCGCTGTTCATATTGTCAGGAGAAAACGGCAGCCATCTTGTTCGCACGAAAGGAGGCAGTGGGACTTGGTCATTGAGTGTCTGGAACCAAAATCGGACACTCGACTTCCCGAACAACAGTCAAATGTCTGCTTCCTTTTCCAGAACAGCCAGGAGAGCGCTTTTCGGTAGTTTGGTTCCCACAAACCAGGGGAACAATCTCTACTACGACTGGGGGTGCAGTTCGTGCATTTGTTCATTTTTAAGATTTGTCGAAATAGACCGGCCGCACAGCCTAAACTCATGGAACTGTTTCTGGGCAGGAGCCTCTTGTGTGGTCGGTTAAAATCGGACTTCCATAAAATTCCAAAACCCCTGAACTGATCTGGGTGATTTTTGGATATGTTGATCACCCAGATAAGGGCTGTCAGGGGATTTAACATTTTATGGGGATTTTGGGTGTCTTGGGGTACTTTTCAAGTTTTGTGGAAATTGTGTTTTTTCTGCCTGGAGATAATTAAGTTATTACAGTATCTGACTCAATTATCTCCAGGCAGAGAGGAGGGAATTATCTGTTTGTATTGGGAGTGTCACAGTTAGTCACTGTATTGTAATTGGCTGTATGCTTTGTGTCCCTGTCCCCCACAGGGACACAATAAAAGCCAGTGTGGCACCCATTATAATCATTCCTGGGTGCCACACATGTAGTTTTGGCTGATGTTTGAGTACCTGTCTACTTTACTGGGAGAATCTCTTTGGGAGACTGTCATTCGGATGGAGAATCGTTCGACTCAGCACCCGAACTGCGAGCTATAATCACTCAGGAGTTCGGGAGTTAATAGACGAACGGGTAGCTGTTTTACCAGAGTTCGTTACAAATATAATAATATGTTTTGGGATATGTAGTTTAACTATTGACTTGACAATGAGCATTTAATGTTATTTTACTTGTAGTGTACATGGGGCAATATAACTTTTTACGAGTTCTGGTGTAACACATCCTGAATTGTGGAAAAAGCATGTCTTCTGATATATTCTAAATGCCTTCTACATATCTTTAGCTAGAACTCATAGAAACATAGAATGTGACGGCAGATAAGAACCATTCGGCCCATCTAGTCTGCCCAATTTTCTAAATACTTTTATTAGTCCCTGGCCTTATCTTATAGTTAGGATAGCCTTATTCCTATCCCACGCATACTTAAACTCCTTTACTGTGTTAACCTCTACCACTTCAGCTGGAAGGTTATTCCATGCATCCACTACCTTCTCAGTAAAGTAATACTTCCTGATATTATTTTTAAGACTGTGCCCTCTTGTTGTGGTAGTTTTTCTTCTTTTAAATATAGTCTCCCACCCCTGAAAAAAGTTAATAAAAATTGTCAATTTGAAAAAAATAATGGCAAAGGTCCAGAGATGGATACCTTATACAACGCATTGTAATTATTGTTGAACACAATGTATTGCTATTATGAACAACATTTTACCCCTTAAAAATCCCCTTTTCTTTTCTGTACCCTTGAAGAAAAAAAATAATAAAATTTGTCAAATTGAAAAAAAATAAATTAAGTCTCCTCCTTTACTGTGTTGATTCCCTTTATGTATTTAAATGTTTCTATCATATCCCCCTGTCTCGTCTTTCCTCCAAGCTCAAGTTATGTGGTCATTGACCAACAATATCTAGATGAGAATGAACCAACTGGTCAGATGCCTAGGACTTCCTTAATTTCATGTATTCCTAATATATATACCCTTCAGTGTTAAAACCATTTAGCCTCCCTGGCCCTCTCTTGTCTCCCTAAATATAGTAAAATCTACTATAATTCAAGTCTGAAGCTGTTGACTCTGCCCCTGTCTGCATCAGACCTTCAAGCTGTCTTCTGACATCATCAGAAGTGTTATTCTGAGCCAATCACAATGCTTCCCCATAGGATTGGCTGAGACTATGAAGGAGGCAGATCAAGGGCAGAGCCAACACAAGTCTGACACAGCCCTGGCCAATCAGCATCTTCTCATGGAGATGAATTGAATCAATGAATCTCTAGGAGGAAAGTTCAGTGTCTCCATGCAGAGAGTGGAGGCACTGATATGTTGTGATGCACACTAGCCAAGACAGTTTGATGAAGCAGCTCTAGCAGCCATCTGAGGAGTGGCCAGTGTAGGTGTCCCTAGGCTATAATGTAAACACTGCATTTTCTCTGAAAAGACAGTGCTTACAGCAAAAAGCCTGAACAAATTCAATAAGCTGTAGTTGTTCTGGTGACTATAGTGTCCCTTTAACTGTGTTTTATGTCTGTTGGGTTTTTTAAATAATGTTTTTGGATAATGTGCCTTTTTTATCTGACTTTATTTGAACGTATTTAGCTGATCGGTCCACCTTAAATGAAAACCTGGAGATATTTTCAGATTTCCTGAAGAACATTTGGAGGACTTTTCCTCTGAAAGTTGGCATCAAATGCCTATCAATCAGGGAAGATCAGTGTGGGAGATTGGGTTTCCTCTGTGGTAGACTTATTGATTTGTCATTGCATCTCCTACAATCTAGCAGAGCGAGCTAAAGGTTAGGAAAAGAGGATAGCTTTGGTTCCTATTACACGTGTCCTTTTGTCCTAACAAACGGCTCCATGACGGCTGTCAGCGTGTATTCATAGCATAAAGCGATTGTCTGCAAGCTCATAGGATTAGCCAGTGCTATCTTTTCTACATTAACAAAGTGTCTCCTGGACAAAAAAAACCTGAAAGAAAGGTTTTCACAGTCATTACAGTTTAAATCAAGGTTTCCGTCTTGAAACGGGTTTGGCTTTGCAAGGCTAAGCCGTGGTAGTGAATCGGAAAATGGACTCTGTTAATATTGCTTATACGTGTCTATAATTTACACAAAATTCGTGTCCATTTGTTTCAAACTTTATTATGCTCTTTAGAAAATGTCTATCTGGCTGTAGAATTAGTAATTCCAATAGATCGTTTCAAATTACACAGTGTCTAGACTTGCACTACTAATACATAAAAACATTTACAGGGTTATTTACTGAAGTGAGAATTCAAAGTGAATTTCAAATTTAAAGGGATACTCCAGGCACCCAGATCACTTCTGCACATTGGAGTGGTCTGGGTGCCAACTCCCACCACCCATAACCCTGCAAGCGTAATTTATTGCAATTTTTATAAACTGCAATATTTACCTTGCAGGGTTAAGTCCTCCTCTAGTGGCTGTCTATCAGACATTTAACATCTATCAGACAGCCACTAGAGGGACTTTCGTGTTTTAAATGATGCTGGACGTCCTCACACTATGCATGAGGACCTACAGCCTCGCCGGAATCCCCATCGGAAAGCTTTGAATAATGCTTTCCTATGGGAAGATCTAAAGCGCGCGGCCATTGCCGCGCATGCGCATTAGGTCTCCCCGCCGGCTGACGTCAGTGGGGGAGGAGCGTGGACGGAGCCTGACCCAGTGCCGAAGGACTTTGGCGCTGGATTCAGGTAAGTAACTGAAGGGGTTTTAACCTTCAGCAACATGGGATGGGGGGTGGGAGAGGGGTACTGCAGGACGGATATGTTTTCCTGGCACTGGAGAGTCCCTTTAAGGGTATAGTAGCCGAACTCAATGTGTAGATGACTTAAAAACTATTTCAGGTTCGGCTTTTCTAACCTAAAATATTAAATACTCTTGGCATTCTCACATTGGTGAATAACCTTGTTAGTGGCTTTAAAAGCGGCGCAATGGTGTTTTTTTTCTTCCTTCTTCAATAAAAAGCTCTAATCAAATGGTTCCTATTTTCTGTTCAGTGAATGTGTCTATATTGTTAATGCATTTGAACAAGGCAGCTAAAACTATGGATGTATTAGTTTTTCAGAATTCCTTTCCTAATTGCCTAAATTCCTACCTTTCACATCAAATTCTCTAATTCAGCTGTAGTCACAACTTTACTATGTTAACCTTGTTTTACAATTCAGAAATACAGGGACCTACAAGGCACCATAACAACTTCATCAAAATTAAGCTGTCACGATGGCAGGAGGTTCCTGGCGCCCGCTTACCTTTTAGGCACTAAACTGTTAACCACCGATTTAACCCCAACGTGTTGAATCCAGCGTCGGTTAGGTCTGCCCCTGTCCGAGGCTCCCTGATTCAAGCCTTGGACAAAAGCAGAATCTTCTCTCATTTTATGTCTATTTTTTTTTTTATTCTGTTACTTTATTGCTTTTCTCAGAGTATTAGGAACCTAACGTATAAATGAGATTATTATCATTTATAAGGAAAGTGATAAGTGTAATATGTCCTGAATAAACTCTAAAATTTGCATTTGAGTTCTAGAAAAGGCAGGGTCAGAGGAGCATTTTTTACAGTACATTTGAATCGATATATATATATAGTACCATCTATATCTCAGGGCTTACTTAATAATATGGGAAGATGTCAGTGTATCCATCCTGATAGTTACATTTCATTGTTACAGTTTTAACACATTTATTGTGTGTTTGAGCTTCCCTAAACGTGTTTGTTTATATCAGCTGAATTCGGGTTGAAACATTGCTGTCTCAATTAAATAAACGACTGAATGTGATCTACATGTTGTTCATATCATAGCAAACGTATAGAACAAAAGAGATACTGGGTACAATTGTAAACTAATACTGTGGAAGTGAACCGGTATCTCTACAAAGTAAAAATGTGAATTCTCTATTTTACTAGAACCTTGTATAGCACAGGTCAGAGATCATGTTATTGTTACAATGCGACATTTATGAGCTACAAGTCCCACGTTCCTTTGCTTGCCCGTTGGAGAAGGGCAGGTTGGCTATCCTATATCTGTACTAAGTGATAACTTCCTTCTCTGTTTGATGTCTTTCAGGCTTTGATAAAGGTCAAGCTGAGACTATTGTGTCTGCCTTGGCAACGCTGACGAACACAAGTATAGACACTGTCTACAAGGACATGGTGACAAGAGCGCAGCAGGTACACTGTATCCCTCTTCCAGTCATTGTATCTCTGTGCTACTTTGTCCTATTATGACCTTAGTAGGGCGATTGTCTTACGGGTGATTTATAATACGGTATTTTTTTTTTGTTTTTCTTCCTCTTGTTCTTAGCGCATTACATAAACTCATTAACAAATGCATAAATAATATCCTTTCCTCCTGATATACTGATTTTAGAGTTCTTTCTAGGTTATCGTCAACCTATGCCGTGACTGGCTGATTAGCTGATCCCTAACCTCCTATAGCCACCTTACAGCGGATTTATATGAAGCTATGACAGATTTTGTGTAGGAATCAATGATACTCTCGCTCAGGAACAATACACCAGCAAGCAGTGTGTCAATCATTAAACTATAGGAATGAGGCTTCCAATCACTTGCACTCGATCTTTCCCATTCACTTTCTGCCATGCATGGTCTATGTGGAAGCATCATCTTCATAATAAGTAAGCTGGGCTTTGGCATTGAGACAAGAAAGAACCCTTCCAGGTGGAACTAGACTGTTTGAAGTTTGTTTACTTATTGCAAAATCAAGTACAATTTGAGCTTTTATATTAGACTAGTTACTTTATGTAGCGGATCCCCTATACTACAGCTGAGTATATCCGTTAGTAGTCTCCCGAATCCCAAGTGTTGCAGTGATTATAGTTCTCCTGTTTCCAGCAGAGTAGTGATTAGAGCTCTCCAATCCCTCGAACATGAGCCTAGACTTCATGAAGGGGTAAAACGAATGTGTTTAATCCAGGCTCAATGGTCTGCTTTTATACAGTACAGGGACACAGTAAACATGTAGCGCAACATGTTATATAGTGTTTGTTAAGGCAGTATGTAACTGCGTTAGGACCAATGATGTTTGGTCCTCACAGTATGGGCTGTTAAAGCCATATCCCAGGAAAGAGTGCAAATATTGCCTCCTGCATCCCAGAATGTGGTGCCATATTTTGGGGGAAATACAGTTAACGGTATACCGTTATTTGATACATTTTATTGGTAATATCTCCAGCATATTCCATAATTTACATTGTGACTTTATTGAAAAAGTATTTGTTTTAACATATTTTGTGAATGACCATTTCTTTCAAACAAACATGTTTATTTAAATAAAAAAATAAAAAAAAATGCTAAAGTCACTGATATATATGGGGCTACAATTCTGAAGCATCTTGAAAAGGATTTTTGTTGCTGCGGTGTGTTTGGCTGTGAAATGGTTAATAAATCAGCAGAATAGATTAACGAGATCCAGGGTCAAGACTTTCTCTGTGTTTAATCTGTACGTGATACTCTGCACTGTAAATAGCCATTGGTATGATGGTCCTGAAACCTCCTCTGCTATATAAGAAGAGAAGATATTGATCAGTACATGATGAGAAAGCAATTCGAGAGCCAATTAAGTGGGATGCTTTACTTGTTTATTTACAAGGGATCTAGACCTGGGAGCTCTCCAGAGTTTACACCCACTATAAAACATCTTCTGTTCTTTGACAGTTAACTCAAAGCTACCTGGTTAAAAGTTTATTAACTAAACACATACAGCTATATAGAGAACAAACATTCACTTAAAAGAAAATAGTCTTCATAATTTTTTTTATTCAGAAATAAAAATAAATTTGTTGTAGCCTCTGTGTATAATCTTGTATTGCATACATAGAAATAAATACCTTTTTTTTCTCAGTTCAAATCCTTCTTTCACATGTGCCTCCATATCTTTATGTCTGGTTTTATTAAAGCAGCTCTATGACCGTCTGGGGTATTTAAATATTTTGCAAAGACCCACGGCGGAGACTGCTCTTCTGGCAGTGTGGTGGCCAAGCCATGCAGAGGAAGGTGAGTTTAACTTACCTGGACCTGTCCCTCCTGGCAACCGCCATCTTCACCCTGATGGTCTTCTTCAGCTACTTGTGCTTTGTGAGAACATTTTTGGAGTAATTAAATTTTTAAAATAATATTTTATAAAAATTATAAAAAAAATATTTTTTTATTCATTTTTTTTTTTACATCGATATTATGGCACTGTATCCAATTTAATTAAAGCTAAGAGTTGACTCACTATTTTTAACTATTTAAGACCCTAGAGCACGTTTATTAGAGAATTTTATATTTCACACAATTCACTAAAATTTATAAAAATATATATTTATTGTGAATAATAGTAATAATAATTTAAACATGCGTGGGGCAGTTAGCAAATATTTGGTAACAATGTGAGGTAGAATATAACGATATTTTGATTAGAATAACAACAACAAGATAACTTCTAAATAACTATGAGGGATAGGCAACCTTTGGCACTCCAGATGCTGTGGACTACTTCCCCCATAATGCTTTTACACCCATAATGCTGGCAAAGCATCGTGGGAGGTGTAGTCCAAAACATCTTCAGTGCCGAAGGTTGCCTATGCCTGAACTATGTCTTAGAGTGATGGGCTTTGTTGTCAACTACAGAAATAATCTACTAGTAGGTGTCACTATACATAGCAAGTAATAGCTCAGATTTTAGTACAAGTGAGACAATGAAACGTATCCATCAATATCCAGTTAATTTCTAAAGAAACTATTCACATTAAACATATGTATATCTCCTCTAGAATCCAACTGATATTGCATAAATTATCAAAATAAAAAGATAAATACAGATATTCAAAGATTTACTAAAGGAATCTCTTTAGAAACTCCTATCAGACAGAATGCAGCAGTTAGCAATAAACAGATGCTGGCAACAGATAAGATACTAATCGGTTAGGCTATTTAACAAGCTCACTGCTTGCTGTAGTTCTCACTAAGCGGACACTTAAAACAGAGTATCAATACCTTTGAACAATTTCACATCAGTTTAATTTCTTTACCATCCAGTGACCAAGAAAATTTGTAGTGAAATTAATGATGCCCTTTAACAAGACCCCTTATCTCACATTAGATCTTAGCAGTGTAATGTTTATACAAACTTGCATTCCACAGCTTACTATCTGGACTGTGAATAAGATAGGCACAAGCCTCCTCTTTTCACTTGATAAATAGTGTTTATGAGAAAAAAATATCTGTCTTTTACATGCTGCTAGCTAACAATATGGAGTCACAATTGCTAAACAGTGACTTGCATTATTGCATTGATTTTACCCACAAAATGTCTGACCGCTTCAACTGCCAGGAGCCCAAGTCAGTGTTGTTCTCTCGCACATATGTGAGAGGCTTATGAAGCATCCCGCAAGACTGCGGAATCAATTATAGAGAGATAACTTTTCTCCCCTCAGACGTAACTGGTGAGGGCTAAAGGCTCAACAGGCTTGACGAAAGGTAGCGCCGCCTCATGTTAAGCGAAGCGTAGAATACTAAGACAGACTAGTCCCTACATTGTCTCAATATTTCTTTAAACTGGGTTGGAATTTCAGTGAAATTCCAACACAGACAATGTGAGATAATGTTATCTTTCTGAAATACTAATTTTGGAAGAGGAGAGGTGCCAAAGCTGCTTTAATAAGTAATTTATTGTGACACGTTTCCAGCAAGCTCAGAACGTTGTGAGTTTTTTTTTGTTTGTTTTTTGTGAACTTAATTTCCCATGATGCACTACCGATCCAGGCTGATGATGAATATCATTGGATATTTACTCCTAAACAGCTGGGTACCAACCACAAGATTTTCATCATTTCTATTAATGATCTGAAGTGTTCAGCAAGAAGCCAAGCCTTTTGTTTTTATTTCTTAGGAAATAACTATACAGCAGATAATGGCCCACTTGGACTCAATACGTAAAGACATGGTTATCTTGGAAAAGAGCGAGTTTGCCACCCTGCGGGCTGAAAACGAGGTACGAAACTAAGAGATCATTAAAAATCTCTGCACTGCATGTCTACTTCATTGTCTGTACACATATCATATTATTTGCTTTTGAGACTCATCTGTCGTGATTTCTCAGCTGTTGCTTAAAACGCAGCCAATCTCTCTCATCAGTAAACCTTCCAGGTTTTGAATTTCAAAACTTCTATATCATTTTTCTGATCAATAAAATTGGTCCATGGGGAAAAAAATGTGTAGGAATGAAAAATTGTTACTTTATACATAGAAACATAGAAACATAGAATGTGACGGCAGATAAGAACCATTCGGCCCATCTAGTCTGCCCAATTTTCTAAATACTTTCATTAGTCCCTAGTCTTATCTTATAGTTAGGATAGCCTTATGCCTATCCCACGCATGCTTAAACTCCTTTACTGTGTTAACCTCTACCACTTCAGCTGGAAGGCTATTCCATGCATCCACTACCCTCTCAGTAAAGTAATACTTCCTGATATTATTTTTAAACCTTTGTCCCTCTAATTTAAGACTATGTCCTCTTGTTGTGGTAGTTTTTCTTCTTTTAAATATAGTCTCCTCCTTTACTGTGTTGATTCCCTTTATATATTTAAATGTTTCTATCATATCCCCCCTGTCTCGTCTTTCCTCCAAGCTATACATGTTAAGATCCTTTAACCTTTCCTGGTAAGTTTTATCCCGCAATCCATGAACCAGTTTAGTAGCCCTTCTCTGAACCCTCTCTAAGGTATCAATATCCTTCTGAAGATACGGTCTCCAGTACTGTGTACAATACTCCAAGTGAGGTCTCACCAGTGTTCTGTATAATGGCATGAGCACTTCCCTCTTTCTACTGCTAATACCTCTCCCTATACAACCAAGCATTCTGCTAGCATTTCCTGCTGCTCTATTACATTGTCTACCTACCATACGTACAACTTTCATTTGCTCTGAATATTTTATATTTTGTACAAAAAAATTAAATAATGCTATCCAGCAAATGTTACAACAAGAGTAAGGTAGGCAGTTAAAGGAACACTGTGGACAATGCCACTGCTTCATTTTATTGAAGTGGTTATAGTGACTGGAGTCCCCAGGTGCCATCCTTCCATTTAATGTTCTTAATGTGTTAATGTCAAACGAAAGTCCCCAGCAGGAAGCTTTAGACTAAACAGTGGTCAGCTGTGATTGGATGAAAGTGTCAGTTGACCATGTTCAGCCTATCACAGTGGTCATTGCTGGTATGGATTGGTATTGCTGGAAGCAACTGTGTAATCTCTGATTAGTCCAAGCAGCACAGAGGCGATGGGTTACTGGGGACTCTCATTTAGCATTTAAATCAATAAAAAATGTGTAAAGCTGAATGGAAGGAAGGTGCTAAAGAACTCCAGACACTATAACCACTTCAATGGTATGGAGCAGTTACAGTGAGTACAATATCCCTTTAATGGGTAGGAGAGGTTTCCAGATGGGTTCCTGAATGTATATATTTATTGATGGTTAAGCTTGCCAGGCAGGTCCCTTACTCTAATGTAATTAATGGTTGAGTTTGCCAGGAATGTTTCATTCTATGGAACGTGATTGATGGCTGTTACCAGGAATGTCTCATGATATATAACGTGATTGATGGCTGTTACCAGGAATGTCTCAAGATATATAACATGATTGATGGCTGTTACCAGGAATGTCTCATGATATATAACGTGATTGATGGCTGTTACCAGGAATGTCTCATGATATATAACGTGATTGATGGCTGTTACCAGGAATGTCTCATGATATATAGCGTGATTGATGGCTGAGGTTGCCAGGAATGTCGCATGATCTATTACTTGATTGCAATGAATGCATAGATTCCAATTCTACACACCTGATGTTAAATTTTAGGGCAATATTTTATCTGCTAACACATTAAGAGAATGACCTATTCTGAATAAAGGTATCCACCTGATATGAATTCTTTACCTTTTTTATTTTAACTTCATTTTCTGTTAAAACAGATTAAATAAAGCTGTCTAATTCTAGCTGAATTTTTTATTTTCATTCATCCCCTCTGCCACCGATATTTTTATGTGTCCTGTCTGTTGCCGTGGATATTGAAGATTAATCAGATTTCTATCGGGATAACATGGTGCTTGCAAATCGTAAATGTGTACCTGTATCAGTAAGGGACTGGCTGGCCATCTGACTGAAGATAAAGGTTTCTATGACATGCCATTGTACATCAGGCTCCCCGGGCACAGCAAGTTGTTTCATTATCTGGGCTCAATATATTGCATCCTACATGTTTTAGTGGTCCACAGAGATTAGAAAACTGAGGAGCTGTTGGAGAAAATTAGCGCTTCGCATGTGTACATCTACCAAAGCATCATACCATACTAGTAGGCTCAAACTCTTTACAGAGAAAAAAATATTTGATAGCTCAGTTTTGTGATTAAAAAAAATAAATAAAATTCTGTAATATGAGTGGGCTGTCTCCCTGTGATGGGAGTGGGCTATCTCCCTGCAGTGCAAAGAGCGACACGGCAAGTGATAGAAGTAAATTTTCTTTCAGATTGGTAGCTCGTTTGGCAAGCCCCTCTTCACCTACTGCTCCTGAATGTCAAACATGTTTCGGATGCGAATTGGTTTAGTATCCTGCCTTATCGTCAAGCAGAGGGAAAATATCCACAGCTGCATTGTATCGTATGACTTTATCTTTTTCACTTACTTGGAGGATGAGTGAAAGTCAAGCGCCTGCCAGCACGTACAGAAAGGATAGCAGAAAGTGTGGAGTAGGACCGGGGGTTGGTAAAACTGGCAAGCTATGATTTTAAGGTGTCACAATTACAACCAGATGGATAATTGACTTGTGAAGGCCAATTATTTTATACATATTTTTTCATTATTTTTTTAAGTGATTTAACTCCTTAGCAGTAAGACTGTCGGGGCATTATCAATACAACAATTCACTCTATTAAGCTAAAGTTGTTTAGGCGCTTGGACTGATCTTTTAATCTGTACATGTACTAAAAAAAATAACCAGTTATATGCCTCCCTAATGGCAGTCACAGTGCACAGAAAATAGAGGCATGCAGCTATGCCCTTTAAAAAGTGCTGAATACCCCACTTGATAAGTGTAACGGAGCTCCCTGTACCCCGCCTAGGTACCTCCGCCTAGCTGGAATAGGGGAAAAACCTCAGCACTCCTGCTCCCAATCGCGTGACTTGACTGGGGTCCTGGAACCAAATGGGGAAACTCACTCTATCCACCCCCAGGCACTGGACAACACTGAGTCCTGGGAGCTCTAGTCCTTACAAGGACTTTCCCCGTTGAATCCTCCAAACTGGAACAAGCTGGAATAGTTATTAGCCCTTTCCCTTCCCAGTAACCAGACAACACATAGTTCTGGGAGTACAAGCTGGAAGTCCAGCGGTGTTCGGGAGTTTCTGTATCCGATTTCAGTTCATGAACTCAACAACCAAAAACACAGCTGCCTGCGTTCATGCAAACAAGATGGCCGCCACCTGTTAAGGCTCAATCATCCAATACTTATAGTCAGGGGAACCCAAATTGTATCAAGCGCTTGGAGAAGCAATAAGACACACGACACGTGGTGATAGTTGTGAATCCAGAAGAATTGCTTCTAGCTTTAATTGGGGGAGATCAGCTTTATACAGTAGAGGATACATAATTGCGTTCAAGGAAAGGAATGTAAGAAGAGACATATTTCTAAATGTCAAAAGACAAGCAGTTTACAGAAGTGCTCCGGTGGGGGCTGGTTTTTGTAAGTAAGAGAACTTAATGTAGGACAACGTTAATTTAAGCATAAAGCGTTACATGAGTCCAAGTTAGCCAATTTTAATATAGGCTAGCCATTTATGGCACCTACAAGCTTGAGCCTTGGAATCAAGGTACATTCCTTCACACCACCTCGTGGTCGTTCATACAGTAACAGTGCGGTGGAACGTGTTATAAACTGTCAATTAGGCTTAACAAGCTCCCGAGTGGTCCATGGCTTGTGCGCCTGTTTGTTTCCCGAACAGGATAGAGAAAGGGCACAAACAATATCTTTTATGAGCCTTTTCGCATGGCCCATAGTCTTGTGGCAAGCAGGCTCCTCCAGGAGCTCGTGGCAAACTCACGTGGGAAGGGGAGTTTGTCACAATAAGCATTGAAGGATATCATATGGAGCGTTTTGGGGAAGAATGATCAAAGTTCAAACTGTAGCCGTTATTTTTGTAGATTTTTAACTTTACGGTATAGAAATAAAGGCGTGGAAAATGGAATCTTTACATTTCATTATCCCATTGCATTAATCAGAAATAGCTGGAGGTTTACAAACATCAGGATTCCAAAGTTAGACACGTGATGATGAAACTGTATCTCATCAGATGAATGTATCAATGGCCATCAATGTATTCAAAATCATTTTAAAAATGCATAAAAGAAACCTGTATTCCTTCTCGGTAATTTCATTTACAAAATATTTACTGGTAAGTTTTTGTGTTTTGGTTTTTTTTTTCCTGTAGAAAATGAAAATTGAATTGGATCATGTGAAACAGCATCTCCTGGTAAGTGATGAGAATTCCAATTAGTTGACTGTTTCTACTCTATTGCAGTTACAGGTATTTTTATTATACTATATTTATAAAGAACCAGCGGGAACAACTGGCACAAGTAAAAAGACAAAGGTACAATACATCTAAGAGATCAAAAAAATTTGACACACAAATATAGGAGTTGAGGCCCCTCTTCCTGTGGGAACTTACAATGTAGATAGATTGGTGGAGACTGCAAGGGTGGGAACGATGTTAATAGAGAGTGAGATGAGGCAATTTATTGGGTTAGTGGAATGTGTTGGGTGGTAGGCTCAGTGGCCAAACTAATAAAGATAGGGCCCTGGTGCAAGACGTTTTTTGGGTCCCTTCTAGACCAAAAGGTATATCCTCATCTGTCGTACAGCTCCCATAATGCTATGCCAGCTGGGGATCTATCCTTTAGCCATCCTTGATGTTTTGTATTTGTGAACAGTGTTTGTGCATTTTAATGTAAGCATGTGTTTGCATGAAGTATATGTGTGCATGTATGAATGCAGGGGTGTGTTTGTATGTAGTGTTGGCTTTTAAATGCGGGTGTACATTTTTTGTGCAGTAGTGGTGTTTGAATGAAGGGATGTGTTTTGAATGCAGGGGTGTGTTTGTATGTAGTGCTGGCAATTGTGTGTATGTACTTACATCCCAGCAATGAAACATACTTACACAGATATACATACATGTTAACAACCCCAGATACACACATTCAGTTTCACTCAAGTGTTGGGAATGGAAGTCAGATTGTGGGGGGTCAGGTAGGGAGTTGGAGGACAGGTAGTGGGCTATGAGTTTGGATGTTAGTGGAAGCAGTGATATGGGGCAGTAGTCTGCAGTACGGAAGAACGTTTGCATGTTTTGAAAGAGAATGGGAATGAAGTCATATAGAAAACCAGCATCTGTTAGTCCTGTGAGCCTTTACGAGCATTGTCTGTGTTTGGCTGCCAAAGGGTAATGGGAATTACTGTCCACTAAATGCTGGAGCCTCTCTCTAGTATTGGACTTCCCCTGACATAATGATTAACGTATAGTTTTAGCTAAGCCTGTCTGAAAACAGTCTATGGTACTAATGTGTTAAACATCCCTCAAATGTATCATTTTGTTTGTTTTTAGGAATAATTGCAAGTTTTTTTTCTACTTTTATTTCTCTCAATTACTTTTCAGAATGAAACCAATAGGATCCGTGCAGACACCAAATTGGACATCAATCTTGAAAGGAGTCGTTTGGCAGACATGGTAATTTATTCAGTATTTGGGGAGGTTTTTCCAATTACCATAACCACTACAGCCCGCTGAGTACCCTGCGAGGCGCCAACTCCATATGTGTAGCGCTTCAAAACACTGCACATGCTGACTCCAGGCACCATGACCACTTTAAATAACTGAAGTGGCCATTGTGCTTTGAGTAACCCTTTTTATAGACATACCTCAAGCACCACATGTTAGATGCAGTCTGTTGGTAAGTTTACACTTAATATGCTGGGTGACGTTATTTTATTAAAAAAAAATATTTTTAGTCTTTTTGGGTTTTGAAAACAAATTATTTTTTATTTTTTTGCTCTGTTAGCCATTTCAAGTCATTGTTAGGTTTTATTAGTTTAAATATGTTGTTTTGTTTTTTTCTCAATGTATTCACCATATAATGAGTTAAATAGAATAGGCCATGGTGGAGTGTCCCTTTTTAGATGTGAAATATGTGTTTTCCATTTTACCATTCCTAGTTCCACATGTAACCCAGTTCCTGACCATGTATATCAGATAGAAGAAAATAATAATTCACTTTTGGGTTTACTAAGATGCACAATAAACATTTATGCTCTGGTGTTGGCTGTCAGGAACCAGTTTAGGGAAGGAGCTGAGCCCACCAGAGATTTCTCTGTTTCAGCAAAGTCACCTAAAGTGACATGGTCATAATTTGAAAAATGTTACGTGATAAAGTGAGACACGCCATTTATCAAGTTACTCTACTGCCACCTAGGGGTTATAATTGAAAATGACAACTAAGTTGAATTTTATACACTCATTACTCAGCATTCTACCTGCTAAACTATGTAGGGTACATCACTGTACATGCGCTTTAAGGGACAGGCCAGAATCCTAAAGCACTTTAAGCTCGCAGAAACGCTTTGTGTGTAAATAGTGAAAAAAGTGCAGATTTCAGTAGAAATTGACACTTTTATAAGTTAACCTGGTTACACCCCCTTGGCACTCAAGCAGACAGCACGTAAAACTACTTATTTTCACCTGCTGTCTGCCTTGCAAATACCTCTAATGGAGTTGCATTGAGTTGTGTATGTTACAATAACATTATTAGTTATATAAAATATATTTTTATTTTTATTGGCCATAAGAATGCTAATAAATGTTCTCAATATCTTTTGGCTTTGTGTACAATAAAATAACATTTTGGTTTTTGTGCTCACCCAAGTCTTTCCGTGCCCCTTTACTTAACGGCCAATGTGCTCATTAGTTGGGATATTGATGCAAACCTCAAGCCTCAAAAAAAAAAAAAAACCTTTAAAGGAATAGAAAGAGGAGGTGAAACAGAAGCAATGTTTCCTGACTGTACCTGCACTGAACTAGATTTTGTTTCTAACTTTTTTTTTTTTTTTAATTCTTTATTTTGAGTTGTGCAGAAGGTTACAGAACAGGCTTGTGCTGCCACAACAACAACAACAACAAGCAATTACATCAGACATAGAATGATTGCAGCATGGCAGACGAAATTAATGCACATTTTTATGGTTATGAAAAATATTCGGTGCGGGCTAGGCACATATGTGCGTTATTCGGGTGAGGTTCGGTAATTGAACCAGCAAAACAATCTGGGTTTAAGATTACTATCATGCGAGTACTTTGGAAGCTTACACTACCTTAGTTCGTTGAGTAGTAATAATAGCAGGATTAATAACAAGGTAGGATTTATAGACATACTGCTTAGAGTTCTATACTGTATTGGGCATACAGGCTGCGTGTAGCTCGTCTAGGTTAGCTTATAGGAGTATATAACTAAGCTGCCCAAAAGCTTATTGCTGAGCATGGGAAGCTGTTGCCTAACAAATGGAAAGCTACAGCATAGATGAGGTTTATTATAGCTAGTACAGTAGTAGGGTTAAGTATATACACGCTAAAGCAGGGTTGTTTGCATTTCAACTGTGTCATTAGGATCAAGATCATGCAGTAAACAGTAGAAAATGGTAGGGCAACGTGTTGAGGGTAACGAAAAACACCAGGGCAGCTTATTGATATTGACATCTCAGAGCTGCAACTCACTAACGGTAGTCCCTTGCACAGTTCATCTGATGCCTGACATCGTGAGGTCATGGGAGCTTGCATGAGGTGCACAGAGGGCTCGTGAAAAATCCCCGATGCGGTGGGCCACGGTCGGCTGAGGGATTGGCCACCTCCCCTGCGCCTAGTCACTAGGGTAGGCCGCATGTAGGCCTCAGGTTCGTCCCCTGTCTGCGATCACCCAGTCGGGTCGCTGCTTCGAGTTAGCCTCCCTTCCATATCAGACCCCTATTTCTGGGGCTTAAAAGCGGACGATTCGTCATTTGTGGAGGTACTTTTGGCTTAATTTGGGCTGTTTGGCCCGGAGGAGTCGACCACGTGCGACCACTCAGCTAGGCTGTCAAGCCCCCTTCCCCGTTTCTAACTTTTTAATACATATTTAAGAGCATAAAACAAAAGAAAATGTTAACATGAGGCATATGTGATTTATTCTAGTTTAATGTCTAGAGAAGTTACAGTTTCTCTTTAATCGTCACTCTGTCAGATGCCCTTTAACTAAGCACTGCTATAGAACAGATTTGACCATTTAGAGAGGCAGATTTAGTGTTGGCCGTCTGAACGGAATTCTTGGAGCGGTTATTCTTATTTAAGGGGAGTAGCACTGATTATCACCCTGAGAGTTGGGGCTTTTTATATGGTGTAATTGGGGGCGGGTGATGCTAAAGTCGTATAATGCATATTTCGTGATCTGCAATAACATTTTTTTAATTGTTACTTTTCAGTTTACTGAGCAAGAAAAGAAGCTAATGGAAAACAACACAGAATTTCATAAAAAGGTAATTGTAAAAGAAAGGTGTGCATTGATTGTAAGTAAGAAATAAATAAAAAAAATGGTATAGAAAATGATACAATATCAATTCATGATTAAAGTAGGCAGGACACATTTGAGAGAAGTTTGGGCATTTAATGTTTCAAAAAGGAGTGACACAAAAAGAATAAAATGGTGTGACTAGATGGGCCACTTTGATATATGTTTGTTTTGGTAATACGATTTTGAAAAAAAAAATGTTTTTCTGCTTTCAAGTTTACAAATCAGTTTAATGTATTTGGAAACTGAATAATGTATTATCCCCATTTCATTACGTCTGGACTGGATAAGCCAATATAATAAAAAAAAAAATAACATTGTGTAATTAAAGGGACACTATAGTCACCAGAAGAGCTATAGCTTATTGTATTTGTTCTGGTGAGTAGAATCATTCCCTTCAGACTCTTTGCTGTAAAAACTAACTTTTTAGAGAAAATGCAGTGTTTACATTACAGCCTAGTGATTTACTTCACTGGCCACTCCTCATGTGGCTGCTAGAGGTGCTTCCTGGAGTAGTGCTGCACAGTGTGACTGACATTCAGTATCTCCACCCTCTGCATGCAGGCTCTGAACTTTCCTCATTGATTCAATGCATCTCTATGTGGAGATGCTGATTGGCCAGGGCTGTATTTGGCTTGTGCTGGCTCTGCCCCGGATCTGCCTCCGTCACAGTCTTAGCCAGTCCTATGGGGAAGCATTGTGATTGGCTCAGACCACCACTTTTTATGATGTCAGCAGGCAGTTTAGAGGCAGACAGGGGCAGAACCAGCAACTGCAGACTTGAATAAAAGTAAGATTGTACAATATTTAGGGAGGCCAGGGGGGGCTAGATGGTGGTTTTAACACTATAGGGTCCGGAATACATGTTTGTGTTCCTGACCCCATAGTGTTCCTTTAAGTTTAGGTATCTCTGAACAGTCTAAACAAGAAATAAGTGTGGGCCTTATGTTTATGCATTAGTCATCCTGTGTTTAAAATAAATGCTGCTCTTTAATGACATAATGAACATAATGAAGGGGTTAAGGTGTCTCCTGTACCAAATTCATTGACCAAAAGTGCTGCATCTTTCATAATAAATGCATAGAAGCAGGGCATGCTGTTTTTATGTGCTAACAGTAACGCACACTCAGCATAGGGTACACAACAAACATTGGAGTAGGTTTTTAGTTTCAAACTTAATCTTTATTTTGGATTTATTGCAGAATGCAAGTACAGATGGCATTATTACAGAAATTCACAAGAAAATAGATATTGACATCGCTTCTCTCAAAACACTTATGGAATCTCATAAACTGGATACAATACGCTATCTGGCAGGTAAGATCCATGACCACAAGGCACTGAAAGCCTCTGCATAGTGTTTAACAAATCTGCTTTAAACAGGCATTTTGGTTAAGCTCCACAGTCTCCTAACATTGAGGAACTTGGGTGAATTGATAATGCAAAGCACTCCATTATTGTTGTCGGCATCATATAACTTAGACAATATTAATTAGCTGGTTTAGCCTGCCTCCATCGATCACTCTCAGGGAATTGATGTTGTCCAGGTGCAGCTAAGATGAGTGGTTATTTAGTGTTAAGAACACCCTCGGTTTATATCAAACCATTCTTATAAGATTTGATATTAAATGGGGGGATGGTGCCATAGGACTCTAAGCTTAAAAGGGACATTCCACTATAAAAAAAAAATCATTGTTAAGTTGCTATATCCATAGTGAAAGTATGTACCTATTTTAATGCATTTTTCTTTGAGGGTATATCTTAAAACAGCTTGCAAAAACAGCAAATTTCTTGTCTGCTGCGTTTGCAAGCCCTCCCCTTCAAATCCCACCCAAACTTTCTGTGGCTGTCCAATCAGACTTCTAATGCAGAAGTTTTTGTAATGTATGTGCTCTGGGCAATTGGTGCCGCTTGAGTTTAGCTACACTTAAAGTTAAACAAACCAGAAAGTAACAAGACCTGCTGCCTGAATGACAGCCATGGGTGCGTAACAAAGTTAATTTATGAAAGTGTCCATTTCTATTGAAATCTACACTTTTTGTAAAATCAAAAAAAGACACACTCTTCACACGTTAAACTTCAGATTGTTTGGAGTGTTCCTTGAAAGCAACTCTCTTACCTCAAAACAATTTTATCTCATTGAAACTGCTTCAGTGAGCTGTAGTACTAATGTTACCTATAGATAATGCATTAAAATATTGTAGGGGTAATTGTGAGACAAAAAACTGAATAGTATGTCTGACAATATGCAAAAATAAATAAATGTATAAAAACCATACTTTTTAGTATTTCTGCATTTTCTAATAATCCTCATGTATGGAGCTTCCTGCCATGAGCTCTACACAAACTAGGAAATAGCAGACGGGGGCACTCCAGGCACTAAATCAGCTTTAATCTGTCAATGTGCTGTATTTCTGCATGCTCAAGTATAGAAGTTTTTTGCAAAAATAACAGAAACGTTTTGCAGCTTGCCCTCATAGCCAATGCCACCCCCCCCCCTTTTAGCCCTGTACTTAGAACTTAGTTACTGACAGCACTGGACATTGAGCTTGGCTACAGGGAGACCAAAAGCTGGCGTGACACGGTAAGGATACAGGGAAACACGCAGGACGTATGTCTGTACATGCCTGCCATTCACTGTGAATGTCTACTAAACCGTGCTTTCATAGCCCAGTGTTGTGTGAGCGCACCTGGTTCTAAAAGCACCATTTTGTAGACATTTATAATTCTAACCAGCATTTACTGAACATGATGCATGTGTCATCCCCACGGTCTTACAAGTACTTGGATGTTGGTAACAAACATTTAGCAAAATCCTGCATACAGGAACACTGTGACAGGGGACAATCTAACCCCATAACTACAGAAAGAGTATGGACTCTAGATGTTGTTGTTGTTGTTATTGCCATTTATATAGCGCCAACGGATTCCGTAGCGCTTTACAATATTTTGAGAGGGGGGGTGTAACAATAAATAGGACAATTACAAGAAAACTTACAGGAACAATAGGTTGAAGAGGACCCTGCTCAAACGAGCTTACAGACTATTGGAGGTGGGGTGTTTGAAACATTAGGACAATAAATATCAAGTAGGAGTGAAGCAGAGCTGGAGGAGAGAGCAAAGCACTGTCCCATAGGAGAGAGCAGGAGGCAGGTATGTAAGGTAGAGATTACTCTGGGAGGCCATAAGCTTTCCTGAAGAGATGGGTTTTAAGGCCCTTCTTAAATGATTGAAGACTAGGGGAGAGTCTGATGGCAGTAGGCAAGCTATTCCATAGGAGAGGAGCCGCCCGCGAGAGGTCCTGCAAGCGCGAGTTGGCCGTACGGGTGCGAGCAGCGGTCAGGAGGTGGTCACGGGCAGAGCGGAGGGTACGTGGAGGGGCATATTTATGGATCAGTGAAGAGATATAAGCGGGGCTAGAACTGTTCAGTGCTTTAAATGTATGGGTTAGCACTTTGAATTGACTCCTATAGCATACAGGGAGCCAATGTAAGGACCGGCAGAGGGGTGAGGTGTGAGAGGACCGACTAGAGAGGAAAATCAGTCTAGCTGCAGCATTCATTACAGACTGTAGCGGGGCAATACGGCTTTTGGGGAGACCAATCAGGAGAGGGTTACAGTAATCCATGCGGGAAATTACTAGAGCATGGACAAGCTCCTTGGTAGCATCTTGCGTAAGAAAGGGGCGAATGCGGGCTATGTTTTTGAGTTGGAACCTACAGGACTTGGCAACAAACTGGATGTGAGACTCGAAGGTGAGACCAGAGTCAAGTATGACGCCAAGACAGCGCGCTTGCAGGGATGGACTTATGTGGATATCACTGACTTGAAGGGAGAGCGAGAGAGGAGGATCAGTATTAGGAGGAGGAAAGACAAGGAGTTCAGTTTTAGAGAGGTTAAGTTTCAGAAAGCGTGAAGACATCCAGTCAGAGATGGAAGAAAGGCAAGCAGTGACACGTTGCAGGACAGCAGGGGAGAGGTCCGGGGAGGAGAGGTATATCTGAGTGTCATCAGCGTACAGGTGGTAGTGGAATCCAAAAGAGGCAATCAGTTTACCAAGAGAGGCGGTATAAAGAGAAAATAGAAGGGGACCAAGGACAGACCCTTGGGGAACTCCAACCGAGACAGGACGAGTGGAGGAGGTATCCTTGGAAAAGGAGACACTGAATGAGCGTTGGGAGAGATAGGAGGAAAACCAAGAGAGGACCGAGTCACAGAGACCGAGCGATTGAAGAGTTTGAAGGAGGAGAGCATGATCAACGGTGTCAAAGGCAGCAGAGAGGTCAAGGAGAATTAATATGGAGTAATGACCTTTGGATTAGCGGAGATTAGGTCATTAGTGACTTTGATAAGAGCAGTCTCAGTAGAGTGGAGAGGGCGGAAGCCAGACTGAAGAGGGTCAAGGAGAGAGTTGGAATTAAGGAAGCGGGACACACGGGTAAAGACAAGCCTTTCCAAAAGCTTTGATGAGAAAGGGAGCAGGGATATGGGACGATAGTTAGAAGGGGAGGATGGGTCAAGAGATGTTTTTTTCAGGATAGGTATTACAGTGGCATGTTTAAGGTCAGCAGGAACAGTGCCAGAAGAGAGAGAGCAGTTAAAGATGTGTGTTAGGGTAGGCACAAGACAAGGGGAGAGAGATCTGATGAGGTGAGATGGGACAGGATCGAGCGGGCAAGTGGTGGGGCGAGAGGAATGGAGAAGCGCAGCCACCTCTTGTTCAGTAGCCGGGTAGAAAGTCTGGAGGGTAGGGAAAGCAAGATTTACATGTGGTTGAGAAAGAGAACGGCAAGGAGGGGAGAATTGTTTCCTTAGCTGTTCAATCTTGTCGGTAAAGTAGCATGCAAAGCTATCAGCTGTAAGGTTAGTTTGGGGGGTGGCCACAGCAGGGCGGAGAAGGGAATTAAAGGTGTCAAAGAGGCGTCTGGGATTGCGGGAGCATGAACTAATGAGAGAGGAAAAGTATGACTGTTTGGCGAGGGCTGCGCTGTATGAAAGCAACATGAATCTATAATGGAGAAAGTCTGCCTGGGTGCGGGACTTCCTCCAGGAGCGTTCAGCACAACGGGAGCAACTCTGCAGATAGCGTGTTGATTTATTATGCCAAGGTTGGGGTCGTGTCCTCCTCGAGGTGCATGTTTTGAGCGGGGCTGCAGCGTTCAAGGCAGATGTGAGGGTAGTGTTATATGTGGAGATGGCCAGTGAGGGACAGGAGAGGGAAGGGATGGATAGCAGTTGTGAATCAATGTCAGCTGACAGCTGCTTGAGGTCAATAGAGTTAAGGTTCCTCCTGAGCTGAGGGGGGTTAGGCTGAGATTGTTGGGTGAGGGGGTAATTGAGAGCAAATGATAAGAGGTGGTGATCAGAGAGAGGAAATGGGGTGTTGCAGATATTAGATATTGTACATGAAGAAGAGAAAATAAGGTCGAGGGTATTGCCAGCTACATGAGTGGGAGAATTAGCCCACTGCAAAAGTCCAAGGGAGGAAGTGATTGAAAGTAGTTTAGAGGCTGCTGGGGTCAAAGGTGGGTTAATGGGAATATTGAAGTCTCCAAGAATTAGGGATGGGATGTTGGAAGAGAGGAAGTAGGGTAGCCAGGCAGCAAAGTGGTCAAGGAAGAGGAGAGGGGAACCAGGGGGACGATAGATTACGGCAATGTTAGCAGAGAAGGGTTTGAAAAGGCGAATTGAATGAATTTCAAATGATGGGAAAGAGAGGGAAGGGGGGGTGGACAGGGTTTTAAAGGTGCAGTGGGGTGAGAGAAGAAAACCTACACCGCCACCTTTAATCTCCGCTTGTCTTGGGTTGTGGGTAAAGTGAAGACCACCAAAAGACAGTGAGGCAGGTGTAGCAGTATCAGAGGGAGAGAGCCATGTTTCTGTTAGTGTTGGGGACTATATCTCCCATAATGCTGGCAAAGCATCAGGGGAGATGTAGTCCATAACATCTGGTCTACTGAAGGCTGCCTGCCCCCAGATAGACTGGTAGGGTGTTTGGATATTCCTGTTATGGATCTAATTGTGATTGATTATACTATGAGTACCATGCTGCCATTCATTTATTTTTATTTTTACAGCTTCTGTATTTACATGCCTGGCAATAGCCTTGGGATTTTATCGACTGTGGAAATGAAAAAGAAAAGTCTTCCATACGAAAACGTTTGTATATAATAAGAATGCATACAAATGCAATGTTTCATTTAAATTACAGCTGCAAATATACCAATTTCCTGTGTATCGCTCATATTTGAATATGGTTTTGCTATGTGTGGTTCAATCTACCTGGGAACATGAAAGGGCGACTAATCAGAAGTTCTTTCTAATCGGTCTCCATCTGATAAGTTAAATGTTGCATTATTGATAGCGGATTAGATTTGGGTGAGAAATGTTCAAAGTCTTGGATTTCGGGTGGACGCAGCTACTAATACCGCTCGGGTATCCAGAGCACTGCCCTAGTAAGAGGGTCCCAGGAGAGTTTCCAGGTATGTTTGTGAACCCTGTCTTGCGCCATTGCTATGTAATGCTGATTGACGCACAATAATATCAATATTTTTTGTTACTATCCTACTTACTGCGGTTATAACAAAAATAGCACAATTGCAGAAAATATGAAAAAAACTCCATTAAAAGTGCCTTTGTCTAATGATTGTCATCAGACCAGTATATTTTCTGTATATTCTGAGTATTATATTGAGTAATAAATGCACTGAACATTTAAGATTAAAGTTTGTTGTTTCTGAAGAACGTGTCTTGACTCCTTTTGGAGATTTTAACCCACAGAATGTGAGAGGAGTGAGTGATAAGAATATAGTATGGAATACCAGCAATCCGTATGACACAAATCAAAACCAGTTACTTACATAGAGGGTTAAATGTGCCCTGGATCTCTGAACCTGCTGACTGTGTGTGTATGTAACACAACCATATATCACTTGCCATGCCCAGAATGTATTGTTGGCCGTTCCCGGTTGCCCAGCATTAGCAGTATTTGGATGTAGTATGCCAGCCGGAGGGGGCGCACATCAGATTTTTCCATAGCAGACAAATACGCTGTTCCTTTATGTTCTTAAACATGAAAACTGGGCTCTGAACTGGATTAACAAATTAAATCATGTATTTTGTTTTAAAAAGGAAAACTGAGTTCACTGTTTATGAAAAGACTTTACTGTCTTTTGGGTTATATGTTGTGTGCTGTTTTTGTTTAACAAACTTACACTTGATCTATTCACGGAATAACAAGTTATTTCTCATTTAGATTTCCCTCCCACCCCCCCATTAAATATTCCTCCAAGAGCTCGGTGGAGAGGAATAGGAGTTACAGTCCTAGAGTTATAAGCACAAGAAGTGCACTGCACTCTTATGAATCCAGCAAGTTGTATAATTGCATCATGTACATGTTCGATAAACTTGTTCTGTAAAAAAAAAAAATATTTAACTTGCCGAATCCTGAATCAAAGGACGCTGCATTTATCATTATCTGCATTTACATCTATAATTTCAATAAAATGCAGAATGTATTCCGATTGCCTATAGTGCAACTTGTAATTGAAAAAGGAATATGGGGCCAGAGCATTTTGTAATTCATCTTTTTATTGAATGCCAAAACACATTTGTAATGTATGAACCAGATATTAACGAATGATCTATAAGGCTTGCACATTCGAGACTATATTTAATTTTTAACAAAATCTGAAAGGTGAAACAACAAAATTACAAACAGGGTGATTGAGAATTGACTGAGATTCAAAATGAATCTGAAATTTAAGGTCAAAATAGACTAACTTTCAGCAAAATTCTCAGCTAAGCTTTAAGTTTGGCTACTTTGGCTTAAATTGTAATTGCCGAATATTCACGTTACTCGTTATACAAGATTCTTCATTAAAATAAAACCGTTTTTGGGGGGAGATTTATCAAGACTAAACGGGATATTCAGGAAGTACTAAATGTTGAGATATGCTGTTGGTTGCCATAGTGATTGCTTTTTATTTAGCACTTTCCCTAAAAAAGATAAGCAGGGTAATTCACTAAATTGAGTATTGTCAGGAATTTAAATATAAGGCCAAACTAGCCAAATTGGAGAATCTTTATACTTCAGCTGTTTTGGCCTTGACGTTAAAATTAACTTTGAATTCAAAATTTCTTCACATTAGTGAAGCTCTCAAGGTCATCACTGGGAATTATTTTATTTTATTATTTTTTAATTAATATTCTGAAAACACTTAATGGATGAGAATTAACAAGCAAAAATAGCGAAAACATCTCATTTAAAATTAATAGCAATGGCACTTTACATTTGTAAAGGAGCGTAAATTGAGTACATGTTAATGCATAACAAATGTTTAACTTTGAGACAGTTACCATTTAAAATCCACCCTTTGAAATCTGGCTGGGGAGCATGGGATACTGGATTTCTTTAATGTATAACAAACAATGACAACTTTGACTTCTGAGACATATATAATTTCTGTACAAAATGTAATGTATACCCAATTTACTTCTCACTGACTCGTCTCATGAAGACACCATTGGAACTGTGCTGCGAAGGGATTTTTTTCTTGGGTTTTTTCTTATCTTTGTATATATCTGACAGCTTTTCCCCCTGGGGAAAAATAACAATCAAAAATTCAATGGTAAAAATAAAATGGACCCTCCAGTTTTAAAGAGCAGTTTAAAACCCAGACATGTGAATGTAATGCAGGATAAAGAATATTATTTATACTTTAAAATTTTACTTACCGCCCCCTCCCCGCAGCCCTCATTTCTGCACAGGATGAGCAAATAAATGAAAATTTTATATTTAATTTTATGTATCCCTGAACAGCAATCTATACACAAAATAGCTTTTTTGTCCTAGTTTTTGTGATCGTTATACACACTTGATTTCAAATAAATGTTACTTTTTGTTTGTTTAAGCACATTTAGCCCATTTACTAATTATCTTTTTTTTTATAAAAGTATGCAAAATATTAAAATGTCACTTTAACCAAAGCCTTCCCAAAGTGACATGATTGCATGCATAAGCTTCTCTGGGGAGAAAAGAGATATCAATCTCCCCAATGTTGCCAAGTAGTCACTTGTGTACTCTTGTGCATGCATGATAATATAGACCAGTGATGGCGAACCTATGGCACGCGTGCAACAGGTCCGCCATCAATGCAGAGTAGGCGCCTGTCTGCCCGAAACGGCAGGCGCCTACTCTGCTTCCGGGTCGGGCGGCAGGGGGGAGGGCTCTAGGAAGCAGCTCCCCTGTCCTCCCGCGCGAAAGGACAAGGGAGCTGCTTCCTGGAGCCCTCACCCCTGCAGTGCTTACCACCACCGGACCACCAGGGATGGCTGTGCCCCCCCCCCCTCCCCCCTCATTAAAG